CCGGCCAGGAAACCGACTATCTTGACTACTGGATTTATGATTTCTCTGAATCTTTAAGGAAAATTACAATATGGGACCTCGATTGTAGCAGGACCGTTTCCTTCCAAATCCTATCAAATTCCTTTATAATCAATCACCCTCTATTTCGAAATTATGTGGTCTGCGATACAACAGCTCCAAAACAAAACACAAAAATAAATCAAGAAATATGATTGAGACTACAGAAAGCACTATATAATCCATGAGATTCTGCAAAGTCAAGCAAGCCATATTCGGAACGATAAACAGACCATCATAGTGGCAACTGGGAAAAGAGAAAAACTTTAATAATATTATAAAGAGATGACAGCTTTCAGATTTTTATACGCCAGTACCACTTGAGCCAGGACGAACAGAAATACTGGTAACATTCAAACAGCATAAATTATATTTTTACGAATTACCAGTGGATAAGCCAAATGAGTCGAAACAACAAATGAATATATGCTGACGGGTTCAATTATGCGTTTTATTTATAAATGTAAATACAAATGATCGCTGGGAAAATGGTTAACTGATATTTAAGAGAATGGACAGAAGTAGATCCCCAAAAATTGAGTATCGTTACAAACCAAAGGGACTGGAACATTGTTCAAAAACGGGCTCTGTAGTCGGAACAGGGTTGAGCCTTGTCCGTGGAGGAGGGGGGATATGAAACATTAGGCCATCAGATGTTCACTTCAAGTATCTGTAAATTACTAATACCAGATACCATCTTCGATATCAGCACATAAAGAATTTGGAGATATATTTTATCTCAATTCCACGTACTGAACTATAGGTCAACGCGTCATGCTTCAATGAAGTCATGGTTATGACGTCACTGCGTGCATAATCGTTTTATTTCGCGGTTTCGTCATAAGCAGTCACTGATGATGCGAACACAATGCCTGAATAACCGTCCGGCAGATAAGGGGGAGGGGGTGTGGGGTTTGCAGCGCAGCTCCCACACGAAGGCAAGGTCGCAGACCAAAATACTTGCAAAACACGAATTCCCAGTAGTTTCGAAATGGAATGGGACAAGAATTTCTGTTGTTCCTAAACACAGTTAAATCAAAGATGAAAGTCAAATAAGAGATTACAATCTTGGCAATAAAAGTAAAAGTGGTAGGTTATGTTTCTTGTATTATTTAACAATGCTTTGCCAACTTCAGACTTTACAGGGCCTATGTCGGTCTGACAGGATTATTGTAATCATAAGAATGTGGAAGGAAAATTGTGGCCTATTTTATGATACTTCCCACTATTTTCCCAAGGGCTGAGGAAAACCTTTGTGCCCTATTTTGGGGTACTTTCCCAGCATTATCCCAAAGCTTGAGGGAGAAGTCTGTGGTCTGTTTTGAGACATTTTCCAGAATTTTCTCCAGGACTGAGGGCAGTAATAAAAACTTCAGAGAGTGTAACTGATCTCCAGGTCGAGATCTAAGTGAGGATCTACAGAACAGGAAGCCGGAGCGCTAGCCACTGTAATTCAACGTCCGGTTCGCTAATTTAATGAATATTTCTATGACCGTAAGCAAACATTTTTGTTTGCCTCAAAGGAGTACTTTGATCTGAACGGCCGACAAAATAAGCAAAATAATCAACCAGTTACTACCAGCCTTCAGTTATCCATGAACTATTTTTTGTTAACTCGCTTAGTGGGGGGTGGAGTCCAACTGGCTCCACTCGTCACGGCGGCCACTGATTGGCCTATTGTAGCCTGTCCCGGGTGATTATGATGATGGAGAATTTTGGTAGAATGAAGATCGGCAGGGGAAACCGAAGTACTCGGAGAAAATCCGCCCCAGCGCCACTTCGTCCACCACAAATCCCACTTGTCAAGACCCGGGATCGAACCCGGGCCGCCGCGGTGGGAAGCCAGCGACTAACCGCTTCAGCTATGGCGTGACCATCCTTGAACTATACTTTATTGTGTTAATGCTCTTTCGACTAAAACTGTCGAACTTTGTTACTTACTTAATAAACCGACCAAATATTTAACTGATTTTGGTGACGGAATCTGAAGATTCAGCGCCGCTAATATAAAATCCAAATACTGGACACGAATCTGGCCCAGTTTCATCTACCTCACATCCTCATAACTTGGTTCTATATAATGCGTCCTAAAATTTTTCTTCCTAAATAGAAGCAATATATTTATTTATTTTTATAAGAGACATCTTCAGCCGTCACACTTTTAAAAAATCAATGAGCGCAAGGTCAATAAATTGCATCAATATAAAATAAAGCCTTTACATATTTTGGCCATTACTTGCCATCATCAGAAGGCAAAGCCAACACTGCGAAGGAAAGACATTTCAAGTGTGATCAAAGCAGGTTATCATGAAGAGATTAATTATACTTTAATCTATTCTCGTTTTCAACTGTCAGAAATCCCTTTACGACAACCTCTGTTCTTCATACAAGTAAAGCGTTTTCTTTATATTATTGGTTTTGCCTTCTGATGTTAAGTCAGTAGCGTCTGAAATATGCACAGGCTTTATTTTATATCAAAATGTTGTACTTAGTGTACCATGCTCTCATACAGCAACACACTCATTCCATTCATGTGGTAATCCATTCTTATTCCGACTCCATATCAAGTTCCTTATCATCCTAAACGGAATGCGATTACTCTACGAAGATAATAGCACGAATATCTGGGAAGAACTCGTGACGTATACGCGCCTCCAGACACCTCACTCTACGGGCCAGGTTATCCAAGAACTATAAGGTAAAGGCAATGGTAAAGCTAGCCGGTCACGGTAGCCAAGCGGTCTAAGGAATGCACTGTCTTCGCTCGCTCGGAAGCCGGGATCATGGGTTCGAATCCCACTCAGGGCATGGATGTTTGTGTGCGTTTTTCTGTGTTTGTCTACAGGTAGAGGCCTTGCGACGAGCTGATCACTCGCCCAAGGAGTCTTACCGTATGCGTAAGATCTAGAAAAACCGAAGTGAACGGAGTTCACGGAGGTAGGCCTAGACCCACTGGGGCTGTAGTGCCAAGGAAAAAAAATCTACATCAAAGTGCTTTCCTTTATAGCATAAAACATTTACATTAGTCTGTGTGAAATATACGTTGGTATTCAAATGAACTACATCCGTTACGCAATGAACTTTAATTAGACCGGAGAAAGTCATTTCCAGCGACGGTCTGCAACCGCTAGACAATCGGCAACTCACATCCGAAAAAGTAAAGCCACGCATCCATGTAACTGATCACTAAGTCAGCCTTTGTTTTTAAGCGGTAAAGCATTTACCTTGTTCGGAAGGTTGTCAAATAAGACTTCACGTTCTGTTATATAATTAATTTCCCAAGTAGTCAGGCAACTGAGTAGCTAAATAAGTGGCAAAGTAAGCAGCTAAATATTTGAGTATTAATTACCTAATCAACTAACTCCAAAGTATAGAGATTCCCTTCAAATGCCCTTCAGTTGGTCAAGAAATGATTTGCTTTTATGGAACTAGAAAATTCTTTACCGTGTTCAAAATCCAAGTCTTGTACTAATTTAATTCGGTTCATAAAATCAAATGAGACAGATAAATATATTAACACTTGTTGCAGTTTTTTAATGTTAGGCCGTGCCATAACTCAGGCGGTTAGTCGCCGGCTTCACACCGCGGCGACCGGGGTTCGAGCCCAGGTCAGGTCATGTGGGGTTTGTGGTAGGCGAAAAAGCACTTGGGCAGTTTTTCTCAGAGTACTTCGTTTTCCCCCGCCAATTGTCATTCTACAAAATGCTCCACACTCATCATCATCCGGGAGCTGGTACAACAGGCCAGTTAGTGGCCGACATACCAAGTGGACTCAGTCTCCCCCCACTTCAAGAAACTAAAACTAGAAAGTATTTCAATATTGTGTACCTACGAGTACATTTATTTGATGTGATGAAATGTGTGAAATAATTATTAATTAAGAAATTTCTATATTCCTCTCGTGACAGTAACACGAAACTCTTCTCATTAGTGCCGCGCAGCGTGTCAGAACTTTCAAACCTCTTAAGTTTCAGGTTATGTTTAAATCATATATTCATAAGAATGTATGAGTGATGTCTAGGTTATGTATGACCGCTCATGCGGCAAATAAAACTCACAGCAGTCTCTTCTGATAATGTATGATCGAAAGTTGCGATAGTTTATTGTTCCATCTCTACACAGCATTGTAACATAAAGTTTGGCTACTTTATATGCATTCAATAGCTTGCGGCTATAGTAAGTAAGGAGTTCACTGTTTTTGTCAGTCTCTACAGATGAAGACCGGGTAGTACTGTGAACTAACTCCGACAGTATCCTTCAAATTCGAATCTACTGATAGTGCTCCCCAGTCGAAGCTGCATCGTTTATTTAATCATTTGCATTTCTATACTCTGTTCTTCTGAGATCTTGTTTCATTTCCATTTGAAACAGAGGTCACATTTGACCGTGCGAAGCAATTTCAAATTGCACACTCTCAGCGTCAGAGTTTACGGAGCTGCATTAACTGACGCCATGCAACAAGTTGAAATGTACTACAAATTCCCCATACTGCACTATTTTACTTGGAACAAATATAGGACATACATAAGAGAAGCAAGGGTAGAAATATGAAGAATAAAACAAGCTTATGGTGCTACTTAGAAAATACGTAATTTACAATTGTATAATATAAAGCCGGTTTTTAATTATTGTTGCCATAACACAAATGAGTTCGCTCTATCACGGTCTCAGTCGTTCTTTTATAAATCGAACAATTTTAATTATATTTAAGCGAACAGTTGGTGTTTAGATAGCTTAGAATATCTGTGTTTAGACAGTAACAGCAATTATAACCTGAAAAAAGTTACAGGTTATGGGATGAAATCGGTTTCTCTTGAAATTATCAAAAATTAGTTTGCGAATTCATTGTACGAAGATATGCAGAATTTGGGAACTTGGTGGCTGAATAAAGGTCCAGTTAATAAGAATATCCCACACTTAGAGAAAACAGATTTATTACTTACTTTTTCTGCAGCGGTAGCATTGACTGCGCTGTCAGTCCGCCACTTCATACTGCCTTCTGTTGGTGCACGAAGCTGACTGACGAGCTGACGAGTATCGCGTTCCGACTGCAAGAGACTCAGCTAGCGCACCTGAGAATCACTCGCACGCTCGCGTCAGGTCGTTTTCAAGTCCGAACGCTTCTCTCTCGCTTCGGTATGCAGAAAAAACTTGCCTTCCCAGTTTCACAGAATAATGTCCAAGATGACGTCGCACACATTATCTTTCAAACACTGATCTCCAACTGCACAACAGAGTATTTAAATAAAAGTTCAGTGCTGTTTCCGTATTATCTTCCGATACCTAATGTCTAGTGTACGTTGTGGCACCTTGTGTGTGGCATTTCCCTGTAACATTTGCAAAACTCTTTTGGTGCCGAGTTTAATTTATAAAGTACACGCGTTCCTAGAGAAGTTTATAATTTTCTCCAATAAAAACCATACATAAGTTAAAGTTGTCTCTGTGCTTAACTAATTAACCACTGCGCCATGAAGACGTATAGGGGAGTTAATGTATAGATCCACACTTCCTTGACCTTGGGACTAGCTGGAGGTGAATGGTCAGCTTCACGTCCCGTCCGCTTTACCCCCGTGGAAAAAGCCCACGGTACCCATTGGATAGGAGGTTGGGTGGACTCTCAGAGCCGGCCTGAACGACGTGGAGAAGAGAAGCTTCTTGATCCTACCGGGACTCGAAATCCGACCCCTCGGTCGTCCAGCCCGTAACCAGTCGCTATACAAACTGAGCTATCCCTGCTCCTATAGAAACCATACATAGTTTTCTATGTGTCAACAGACGGAAAGATAAGAGATTTGGGAAGCAGGCGCTTGTCTGCATGATGGGATGGATCCAGTTTAATTATAAGCAGCTCAATGTTAATTGGATAGGTGACAAATAACACTGGATTTGTCACTTCCTGATTGTCAACTTTTTAGAATATCTACATTTTTTGTGCGAAACTTATTTCAACTCGCGAACTTCAGATGGTATGACTGGACAAGCAGGTGCAATCACTTCTTGGATTTGTATTTTTTATTACCAATCGTTCTGCCTACGCTATATTACTGTACGGTCGCAATTGACCTAGTGCATGACAAGAAACAAGAAACAGAAATAAAATATCAGGAACTTCATTTGGAGTAGAAGGTGCCTGATTTATGTAAGTTACATATTTCTTGCCCGAAATTCATAAAATGGAAACATAATCGGTTGATGTTTTATGTTCGTCTGCATTTTTCATCTTTCAAATTTCTCAGTGGATTTTGATAAATATTGACGTTGAATATCTGCACCAACATTTTGATCCATAACGTTCTAACTTCAAGACGGGGGCAGTATATTCCTCGCACTGGACGGTCACATAGCTCAGATATGATACATATCTGTCTGACATAGTCTAAATTTTGGCGTAAAGCTGGAGCATACCTTCATTTTTCTCAGAAATAGTTCGTCGTGTAAAAATTGTGCAACATTTAAATACAAAGCTCATTAAGGCTTCAATTTTAACTTAAAATCTTTTCAGATGTGGGTGATATTTTGTGGAATAAATGACATGAAAATTAACGCCTTAATAGAGTCTGACAAAGTTTTCAGCAGTGTAGACCTATTTTTTTTCCCCCTGGCACTCAAGCCCCAGTGGGCCTAGGCCTACCTCCATGAACTTCTCCGTTCACTTCGGTTTTTCTCGATCTTACACATTCGGTAGGACTCCTTGGGCGGGTGAACAGCGAGTCGCAAGGCCTCTACCTGTACACACACACAAACTAAACATCCATGCCCTGAGTGGGATTCGAACCCACGATCCCGCTTTCCAAGCGAGCGAAGACAGTACATGCCTTAGACCGCTCGGCTACCGTGACCGGCCGAGTAGACCTATTAGTACCTAAAATACGTGAACGGAAAGGCTAATGAAAAAAATAATAGAACAGATTTGGAAATTACATAGGCACCACTGGAGAACACATTTCTTTTATTATCTTAGGAAATGTAGCTTTCATATTTACATAAAATACCGCTTAGCTACTTTTCCGCTCCTTGCCAGTTGCAACGATTTCACGGAAACGCCGATGGGAGCGACATTTGACGGCTCTGTTACTAGAGCTGCTTAGAAGGTATAGTACACGTAACTACAGAGAACATAACTGAGAATACGACTCAGCAATGACGTTGGTTTCATTGGGTGCAGAGACTAAATCACAAGCCGAATATGACCTATATTACTTCTACTAGATACACGAGCAGATTCACCACCTGGTCTTAACTGCTATATCCTGACAGGCAAATATGCCTGGAAATGGACTGTTGGAGCAAGAAGAAGACGGCCTGGAAGCTAATCAACCAAAGGGTGTAAGGGTGACGTAATGCAACGATTGGACAAAATGCTGAGGCAGGCTGACCCATTTGCTGAGTAATGTAAATGAATGCACGAATTAAAATGAAACGTCTATCTATCTACAGCCCTTTCTTGGAACATGTTTTTTTTTTTCATTTTCTTGATCTTTTACAGAGCCGATAGGACTCCTTGGAAGGGGAATCAGCCCGTCGCGAGGCCGCTATCCGCACACAGAACTACACAAACACAGAATAAACGCACATAGACATCCATGCCTAGAGTGTGAATCGAACCTATGATACCAGTGTTTGAGAGGACGAAGACAGTGAAATGAAATATATGAATAAATAAAACACGTTCATATTTCAGCATCTGCAAAATGGCCTATGTTGAAATTTGTTAAAACAGTAAACGACATTAAAATATTTAAAATACAGAAGTGCCACGGAAAAACTTTCATAGACCTGACTGAATATTTATTTTTATTATAATAACTAAGAACGAATATTACCAATACTAAGTTCTAGGTGAATCCAAACAATGCACTCTGCACAGTCAGAGATGGAGGCAGTCTTCAGACTGTGGTTTTTCATTTTTCTTTATCAAAATAAAACTAATACATTCTTTCACTGCTGTAATCCCAATCTGACATACTTCCAGCAAACACTGAATATACATTTGCTAATTACCTGTGGCAACGAAAGCCAAGCACACGCTTATGTTGGCAGTATTTTGCATTACACTAAGACTTGCAGCAGCAGTACTAGAGTCACTGATTCACAACATAGATATCATGCAACATAGCTCTATTATCTGCCAAAAATATGTTTACCGAAAGCGATATCAGAATCGATACGGAAAAATTTCCCACAGTGGGAGGATGAGTGGAACAACTAGCATAAATTTTATGATTAAATATTGAAACATCACTGGTTGACAGAATGCTCGATACAATTGTGTCTAAAGCATATGGCAATTAACACATACCCGGAAATCCATTGCACGTATTTTTACAGAAACAGGGAGAAACCATGAATACCAGTACAGAATCAATTCGTTAAAATTTGAAATGCAAATTGAACCATAACATTTGCATTTCGTGGGCTTGTAGGCATATGAATGGATAGAAAATATATCAGAAATTATTTTTATTATATTTTAATAATCATGCGTTCATTCAAATAATCATAAGTAGATATGCTCTGAGAGCTATGATTTTCTAGCTTGAAGATATGCAACTGCCACTTATTTACTTTCCATCACTGCTGCTTTCTTACAACAATCTTGTGAACCAGTAAGCATTAAGTAAAGGGATTTACGAAGTCACTGTTAATGGACTTAATAGAGCCTCGCGTTATTTCCCCTAAACATACGCAAGGCATAATGAGATGCAGTTGAATGGAACAATGAATTTTTAATTCAAAATCGAGTATAAAATATTGTCGCGTGATTCCTAGACAACGCGACAAGAAATTGTTTGGGTCTCGGATTTGGACGAATGTGTTTATTGGACAATCATGCTTTACACTCACTAATACAATTGTTCGCACTTATAACGCCTTCAGACGTTTCCTCTTCAACTGTTGTAACACTCTCGCACCGCTAATCTCTGTGGAGTGTCTTGGCTCTTCGTTCTTCGAAGCTGGACTGACTCCTGCTCTTGTCGGATTCGAACTGACTGGTCTCTTGCCGAAGTTGGACTGTTATATCCTGCGCTCGGGCTTAAGGGAACACCTTGTCGAAGAGTTTAGCTTCGCCCGCTGCTATGCAAACGAATCTCTTGTTACAGCGACAATACATTTTACTGCTTCAAACAATTACATGTTATGAAGGCCCTCATTATGCAGTTTTCTCCAACCTCCTGTCACTTCATCTCTCTTCGGTCCAAATATTCTCAACACCCTGTTCTCAAACAGCCTCATTCTATGTTCCTCCCTTAATGTCAGAGAACAAGTTTCACACCCATATAGAACCACATATCTCACCCCAAAATTTTTATTTATTATGAACCAATTTTGAGAAAACGCATGAATTTCGGTTTGAGCTTCGTGAGGGCAGCGGAATTGTGTTCCAGAGATTCGAACTGAAACGAAAGCCGCTTAGTGCAGGCTTCAATTGCCGAACTACATCGTAATAGCATAATCACAGTAGTTGGTGAGATAAGACAGGTGGACGAAGGGGCTGAGAGATAAGACCTTCTCATTGTGCGTTTAGGCGAATAACCCTCGACTATTTCAGGTCATTGACGTACAGCCATACATATCAGTTCAACGTAGAACGAGTAGCGAAAAAGTAGGAGAAAAGAAAGGAGAAAATGGAAGAGAAAAAGGAGAAGGAAGAAGATGGAGAATGGGGACTATAGGATAAGGAAGTGACGCAATTGTGTTTACGTCAGCTCTGTACTTGTAGTGTTGAGAACATCATGCACAAGACCTGGCTCCTTCCAAATGGCTTGGGCCTGAAAGAGTTGAGAATGTCGCACAAGGCTGTCGCTGCAGATTCTGCTGCAGACAGTTGAGTCCGACATGTCTGCCGCGTGATTCACAAGACTCTCCGTCAGATTGCACCAATAATGTGCCGTCATCAAGGGAGCAGTTGATTGTCGTGTTATCTCGTCGCTGACTAACTCATGCAGGATCCGACAGCTGGGCGTATCGTGCTCATATGGGGACTGTAGACAAAGCATTATGCTAATATTAAACCAGACGACCGACCTAGGCATGACACGTCACTTCCTTTAAAAGCCTTTCTTTCTACATAAAAGCTAAAAATTATAATCAGGAACTAACCTCAATCATTGCATTGAGTGAGTTAAGTTAGCTCTTTCTAAGGGACGCAACAGAGTACGTGTTTTCCCCCTCATCTGAAGATGACAACAGATTTAGTTTCCGAAACGTTGTGATTTTTAGTTTCTAGAATACAGAAAACCCAGAAATTCTGGATATTATACACTATCGTCAGAACCCTTCAGAATTTAATCTAAGATTTTGTGTAGAAGCCGTCGACAAAATTCGGGGGGAAGATTATTATGTCCGGGATTTCTTACAAGCTGTACATGAAAACTATACAACTGCTGCATATAAGCGTATGTCAAACTGCATTCTGGCTGAGGCCTGCTATACACGTACCTGTATATGCGATTCGACTAGTGCTAATCGACGGATTAACATGTACAACATCTAATACCTGGCCTTCATTTTGCACGTTGCGTCAACCGTGGTAAACTTTTTTTTTTGGCATGAATTCATATAATTGCGTCAGATTGTGGTGCACCAGTGCAAAACATCTGCTGGGTTGCCTCTGATATGGATACCGACGCTGGTATTTCCTCTGTGCAGCTGTAGCACTTCCATCACAAAAGCCGTATATGAAATATGTAGCATCATACTCCTCATTGGCAAATCGTGACATCTTCTTCCACAACCATCACTGCTTTTCAGGTAGTAATGTGAGCTATAAGGAACATGAGCTCCGTTTTGTGACGTTATGAAGGATTCACCACACAAATAAAGAACGATTAAAGCTAAGGTCGAGGGCTTGGTCGCGCCATAGCTCAAGCGGTTAGTCGCTGGCTTCCCACCGTGGCGTCTCGGGTTCGATCCCGGGGTCTGGTCAAGTGGGATTTGTGGTGGACAAGATGGCGATGGGGCAGGTTTTCTCCGAGTACTTCGGTTTCCCCTGCCAATCTTCATTCCACCAATTGCTCCACAATCACCCTCACCTATCATCTGGGGCTGGTACAACGGGCCAGAAGTGGCCGCAGTACAAGGCACTTGGTCCCACCCCACTAGCAATAAAAAGACATAATAAGGCCGAGGGCACACCAAGGAAACTGGCAACCGCAACGCAATCGCAATTCCCGAGAACTGTTACCAGACAGAATTACTGGGTTTTGGATTCTGTGTGTCATCCACCATCGTCAGAGCCCTTTAGAACCGACTATTATCAGCCTGAGTTTAACACACGTTACTGCATGGAGCAGCGGAAACTGAGGGGACTGCATTGCCGTTTCCTCAATTTGCGCTGCTCCATTCAGTAACGTGTGTTCAACTCAGGCTGATAACAATTCTCGGGAATTGCGGTTGCGTTGTAGTTGCCAGTTTCCTTGGTGTGCCCTCGCCCTAAAAACTTGAAAAGACCGATAATTGTAAAACGATGTCGAATCAGACAAAATCTGTTTATGTTCTGCTCCAAATGATCTCATAAACAATTTCTTGAAGTTTAGCCGTAGTACTACAAACTCATATTGTAAACACACAAGCCAACAGAAAGAGCCACCCAGCTTCTTTCAATAAAACGAACGCGTAGATGGAACTACTAATCGATTATTAGAACCGTGACACGGAAGCACAGCAGTTCTCACCAACAATCTTTATACCACTGATGATGACCAATTTTGTCGAAGCATGTAGTGCAATGTACAATATCTTAAATAAAGTTTAAAGACGCATTGTGTGTTGCAAGAAACTTGGAAATAAGTTTTAGGAGGACGCGTTACACGTGACACGGTAAACCAGTGACATTTGTTGAATAATACGTGATGTGCAAAAGGATATTCAAATAAAACCTTATAGAGCATCTTGTTGAACGTCCGTGTTCTGGCTAATAGAAACTCACAAAATAAATATTGTACTTGAATTCCGACATGAAATTCTTACCGATGTCGTAAGTATTTGGGGTTTCCACGGTAACTAATCAAGACAAGCATGAGGCACAATGATACATGGTAAATCTGTGTTGAAGACTTTATATGGAGTGTCCAAGAAGAAACAGATATCACCAGTTTTAATTAATTTTAATAAACTGTTCAAGTTTCACGGTACATATTCCTAGGTTCCCATCGTTACTAAGGTAAAGGTAAAGCTGTCCCTGTAACAGCCTGTGGAGGCCCATAGGGTTGTGGGACGTCGAAGCTCCCATATTTTCTCTAGACAATCGGCTCACAGATAGCGGTAAGTTTGTCAGCCTTACACGCCGGCCGCCCTTTACTCCACAGGAAGATTTCTGATACTCATTTCTGTTAGAGGCTGAGTCGACCCCAGGGCCATAGTGCGGCTGCTAGGATTAGGTCAATTGAAAAAATCTACATCATCGGGACTCGAAACAGCGACCTTCCTGCTTGTAGCAGAGTGCCTCAACCGACTACGCTACTGCGTAGAAATCGTATTTATTGCATCCATCTTCGAGGGCATTCATACAGTGTGGTTAAATATCACTAAATTTGGACAGCCGCTAGGAAGATACTTTCCAACAAGTAATAAAATGTTGACTATAATAATGTGTTGCTAGGAAACGACTGCGAAATAAACAACTATAAAAAGCAACTGCCAAGCAATGGCTCCGCAAACAAGCATGTTTCAACGACAAAAACAGAATACAGTAATAATAAAAGAGGCGCTTGCTACGCGGTCCGTGCCAAGATGTTACAACCAGGACAAGTTAGCAGTTGCAGTCAGAAGACGGTTGGGGTTCAGTCGTTGTGAGCTGTTGCTGTTAGAAGCTGGTAGCTGACGGGGACCGCTCGGGAACCCAGAGGAAGAGGAACGTCCGCCGCTACCAAACAACGGCAATGAATATGACACTGTTGCGTAATAGTGAACTGAAAGTATAGTTATGCGCTGTATCAAAGAGTCCAGTTAATCCGGTCATCAACCCCAAACCAGTCCACAGTCATACTCCATCGCGTGACAATACGTAATCACAAAAGTTATCAATTTTTTGTTGGTTTCATTAAAAGTTTTCTTATTTTACCATATTTCCGCGGTCACACATTACAATTCATGTTATTGAGAAAGACACCAATAGCCAGATTCTAGCTGTCAGAAATTGGGGGAGGTTACGTTTTCTTTTTTCAGTGATCTTTTCAAACGCCACACAAAGCCAGATCAGACGGGATTAGCGAACTTATAACCGAGATATATCGTGCAAAGCATGGAAAGGATTACAATTTACTACTGTGTAGGAGATATTAAAACATGTTTTTTCTCGCTTTTTTGTCCGTTTCCTGTTACTCTGGTTTCGTTGGTACATGACATGGAAGGGTGATTTATATAGGGCAAATAGAATGTTTAAATGTTGATCTGCATCTATATTTATATAACGGCTTAAATACATACTTATTCCAAAAACGAGTTTTTGTCACAATGACCTCGAAGACTCTGGGGACACTGCAACATTAATCAATATTCCGTTGAACAAGTTTAGCCATGCGATCTACGGTCATTGCCATCCGAGCCTGGTCTATAATATTCAAAGATTTTATTTGGCACATTCAAGGCATAACCAAAATAAAATTCAACTCTTGATTACTACAGAATTATAGTTCTTGTATGTAGTCTCTTTCAAAATAAGTTATTTTACAATCCAATTCTTCTTTGAGCACATTTCTCCTTTCTGGATCGACATATTGTATATATTTGTATATATCACACTAAATTCTTCATTTAAAACATTTATGACAAATGTATTTTACGCTATATATACGATATCATAAATACATATGTAATCTAATATACAAATAAAATATATTACACAAACAAGTTACGGAAAATTTACTTGTGGTACATGAGTACGTCTCCAATGCGCACGGACTCCACTTCCTTTCGTTTGAAATATGGCAGATACATACATGAACGCAACCAGAGAGCAGTGGGGATGGGCTTGGGGTGTGAATTCACTATGTAAAAGATGCACTTAAGAAAGCAATGAACATTAAATTAAATTATTTTCGTTTTTATAAAACTTCATGTAATGTAGGCTATTCCGAAATTATGTAGACGTTAAAATTAACTTTAACTCGAATTTAATTTACGTTGATGGGATGTGTGTACTGTAAGTACGGCTGATAATGTGGGGCAGACGCGTGTAGAGGCCGTCTACTTAGTTTAAGAGCTCGCTTTTTACAAAGATATTTACTGCGCAGTTAAGACGTCGTAACCCTTCTTGCCAACAGAGGTGCGTGTAAGAGCGAATTCACGAAACCGCACTGTAATAAACTTCCTTATAACATGTGTTAGTCATTCCCCGAGATCTTCTATTGACCTGGTGCCTCTACCTTCTTCTGAACAGCCTTTTACACCCTACTATAATAACCACTTTTTTTTTCCTGTGGCACTACAGCCGCAATTTGGGCCTAGGCCTACCTCCATGAACTTCTCCGTTCACTTCGGTTTTTATAGATCTTACACATTCGATAGGACTCCTTGGGCGAGTGATCAGCTCGTCGCAAGGCCTCTACCTGTACACAAACATCCATGCCCTGAGTGGGATTCGAACCCACGAGCGAGCGAAGAGAGTGCATGCCTTAGACCGCTCGGCTACCGTGACCGGCACTATAATAACCACAGTCCTTGTATATTTACACGAAACTCGAATTTTTAGTAAATTTCTTTAAAAAAAAAAGAAAAGAAAGACGAACCGTAGGTGATCTATAATGAAGCAGCCTTCAATGACCAGGCCATATTACAAAATACCTTTACATCCACAAATAATTTTATTTTCTTTCTTCCTTAATGAGAAAACAACTAAGCTGTCCAGCATGATTTGTATTGCAGCTGCTCCGGTTGCGTCCGTAGTCACATTGCAATCACACCGCACAGTACACTTTCTACGAACACAAAACCTAAACACATCTTGTGTGGGTCAGCATTTTGACTAATCTTCAGAATTCAATTCTCCTTCCAGAGAGCAGATCCAATCAGTTTACGGCTTGTCCCCGGCTATGTCTACAATAGTTGCACTATAACTTGAAATTCTAATGGGCAGTCGTGCTTGAGATAGTAGTTTGGTACATTTCCTTTCGTACTGTCTCAAATACAGCACTCACGACTTTACTTCGCAGCAAAAATTATGCTGAAACTCTTTTAACAGTCAAGTATATTAAGCAGCTCTTAAATAAAGAATTGAATCCTTGAATGTTTTGTTAAATATTTTGTTTGGTATGTTTCCATCGAAGCTTGTATTTTCAAATATCGCTCGAACTATACAAAGAAGGTAAAAGTTTATTTCGACTGACAGTATTGCTTGCCAAATCCAGTCAGACCATGTTTCAAGACGATTTTTCTCGTTCATAGCACGCATAGGGTTAATAATATTTCCTTATAATTATGAAAAAAAATATTAACATATAATTTTTGTTTGTCGATGATACTGTGTATAAAGAAAGGCGTTGAAAATTCTTAGGCCTTAATTTTGAGATGTATCTTTCATTAATATTGTACACAATGTTTCTTGAAAAATTTGTACGTATTTAGCTAGCCATTAAACTTAATGTTATGGAACCAGAAAGTTCATGGCATTCTTCATAAAATCATTATCCTTAGTAAATTCATACCAGTTTACACGTTCACAACCGATGTCCCCAAAATTTATCTTAATAACAAATTTAAAAGTTTCCTAAGGAATTTCTCCCTAGAATTTTAAAATGAAAATTATGTGGGCATTTCTTATTTCCTTCCAACACCAAGTTTGTGTGTTTATTAACTCTGGATATTTCAGATTAAATCCAAAAGGTCATTCATCCATCATTTCTCACAGCGGTTACCTTTTAAACACACAAAACATAAGCCTTTCTTCTTGAAAATTGTAGCATCATCAATACAGGGCTATTCTGTAACTCCTAGATAAAGGGCGGGCACACAGATGCGGTCCTCAGTCGATTTTAATTTTCCCAAATACAGTATCACAAAAAGGTAACCGAAAAAAGATGATTTTTTAAAAATCCAAGATTTGGGGACCCAAGCACACGTGTCTACCGTTTTCATATTATGCATGATAACGCAGATTGGGGCCCACTTTAAATTCTGTGTCATTCGGAGTCCATACCTGAACCTTGAGGGCACTGGTCATGATTGAGAATATTTTGTTTCAATTAATTATTATTAATGGTGTCTTTTGGTAGAACCGTTAACTATACTCAGTCAGCGTGAAAAAATTCGTAGTTATCTGGAAATACAAATTGGTTCCTCGCCATAATGTCAGGGCCATAATCCTTTCGAAATTTCATCTGCCTCCTGAGTGTGGAATGACAACATACCCCTGGCTTAGGGAGTATATAATTATGTTACAATTCTCACAATCTTCACACAAGCGAATGTACATTCCTTGTAAAGAATTTCTTTACTAAAGCTACTTGCATTCTATACAAAAATTATTCAATTCCTTATCAGCACAAAATAATAAAAAACGGTTGACTGTTTGCTAAATATTCATCCCTGAGACAATAACATGCCACATTACAATCTTCTCTACACTTACATGTCCTTCTAGAACCTACAGATTCTCTAACTGAGACTTGATCCGCTCTTGCTGTACGTTTACAAGTGGAAACTTTACACTCAGATGCAGTGTTGGCGCTTCCTCCTGTACAGTATGTGTAGGCTTTCTGTCCTCTAAGGAAACTTTTAATGAATTAATTGAAAATGGAGCAACTTCAGGACGAGTCCAGCGGAGGATGTAACGTGCACTGGCACAGAGGTGAAAATAAATTCCAAAAATAATTTTATTTACTCGCCCGCTGTGCCACGAATCTTCCTCTGCCTCTCCTGTCATTGATTTCAACTTGAGAACGTAGATCCTCGAAGCTTAAATTCGTTAAGACTCTTTGAATAGCAACAACGACAAAAAACGGTTGATTCAACTGGCAGCGATTTCAGTTTAACATATATGTAGTCAGGAGCTGCAACTGAATGAGATATTGATACATATCTATGCTGACCACATGATCACAAAAGAAGTTGTGACTGAAACATTTATTGTCATCACTAGTCTGCAGCTCATCCTTAATGCCCGGTAGGATTCCGTTATACCGGAATAGTGAAAGCAGAATAGACGTTCATTGCTACGCAATGACCCGGTAAACACATTCCCGCGGCAACGAGCAGGCAAGCAAAAATCGAGTAACTCCCGTTGCTATGTAACGGTGCGGTAAAAATGCCTCGTCAACAATAGAAGCTGTGTTTTCTGCGTGGTCCGTGCCGACGGGTTATCTTGAAGATATTTGGCGTTACGGGGCAGTTGAGGGTCCAATTGTGGGTGTTAAACAGTAGGCAACGTATGCTGAAGAATCTCCATTGTTAAGATTCGTTATCAGGACACGTTTAGTGAAAACACTGCAGAGGAATAACCATTGTGGAGAGCGGTTGCCAAGGAGACTGAGAATACTTAGTGTGGGAACCAGCAATATTGTTGTAGCTACGACCTGTAAGTGGTCAATAAATCTAATTGCCAATCCAAACCCCGTCTATAGACCTTAAGTCACGTGACAGTATAAATATCTCGAAGAGGTATGACGACCATCTTTGTTCACGTTCACAGGAAATTCTACGAATCAATAAAAGATCATCAAAGAATGGACATTTTAGGGAGACTCAAAGGAAGACAAGAATGGGCATGTAAGAAGCTCTCGAAGCGTCGCTGACGGAAGAAAGAATTGTCAGAATTTATGAAGTAAGGAACTTTAAATAAGACGTCAGAAGAAGACGGAATATACTACGAATTCTATTCAGTATGCTGGGAAGACATCAGACACTGCCTGATACAGATGCATAATTTGACACTTCAAGAATGTGGCCTAACACCCATGCACAGGCATGGGTCATTGTGTGTATTCGGAGAATCTGAAAACCGAAACCTGTAAGATGCTATCGAAAATGACGCCATTAACTGGACAGCACAAAATAACTGCCAGAGCAAGAGCGAACAGAATCAAATCAGTTCTGACTGAGACAATGAACCTTTTCAAAGTAACGATATACCAGGCCACACGGTCCCCTCTCGAATGCACATGGAAGTTAACTGGATTGGCAGATCGCGCATTGCGCGTAATTGGAACGTCAATTCGGAAGCGTAAGAACATACAAGCAGATGGCAGCAGAGTGTAATCACTATCACAGGCAATAAACAGACGGCAGTTTTCAAGTTTGTAAAATGGACCAGATGTCAGTAGATTTTAGCAGTTTACAACAATATTTCGACATGTAGACTCATTGCTAAGCAACGACTCGGTAAACACAATCTCGCGGGAGTAAACGTGCGCAACAACAAGACGTCCACTGATAGGCAACTGATCAGTAAACACGCTTCCTTAACAACAGAGGCTGCTTTCCTCGTGGTCCGTGCAAAGTTGTTAAAAGAAATGTCCAGCAGCGTAGAATTAGTTGTATTTAGAAGCTGACAGAGTAGAGTCGAGTTTCGGGAAGCCAGCCTGCCGGGATATGAACTTGGGAGCAGAGGAAGTGAATTGAGTTGAGTCTTCGGAATTGCCAGTTGCAGAAAAATGGCAAGAAAGGAATTAGGAGGCGCAAAGAAGACGTCATATGTGATCTGAAGTTGTAGTGAGAGTGTTATTAATCCGTTGCCTGGATATGACTAGTGAAGGCTGAGGCCACTAGTGGGAATGTAATGGTGAATTGTAAAGTGTATAGATCAGCGATAGCACTGTATTGCCTGTAAGTATCCAGTTGTGAATTATAAAGTGCAATAAATCCAGTCATTCAATCCAAAACTCGTATTATAAGCCGCCCCTGTTTATGAAGCTGCCCTTAACAGATAGACTGAAGGACAGACAGAGAGTTGTCCATACGGTGTATGAGAACCGTCAACACTTCTGGCTTAAATTCCACCAATTTAAAAATAAATACTCTTTATTTTTCTGGAAGTAATACCACGTCACCTACTAACTCACATGTATATCCCAATATAGACGGTACTTGCGAAAGTGCGGACTTAACACGAATGTTCTACAGGTTCGATGTTAAAAGACGGTTACATAACTTCGCGATTATTTTTCTAACGTCAAGTTGAATGTTCTGATCTGATTTGGGGTAGCTTAAAGGCTAAACTAAAAGTCATTTAAATACATAAACATGACAGATGAGTTAATAAAGAAGGTAAAGTTGCCCCTGTGCTTAAGCACTACATGAACAAGTATGGAGGAACGAAGATAAAGTCGCAGAAATTCCTAACCTCAACACTACACACTTCACACTAGAGCCTTTTCACCTGCGGAATCCATCAGGCAGGAGGCTGGGTCGAATCCAGAGCTGATGTGAACGTTGTCGCGAAGAGAAAAATTATTGTTCTCGCCTGCAAACAAACTCCGGTGGTCCAGCCAATAGCTGGTAACTTTCTTGATTTCGGCAACCCGGTTCACACTAAATAACATTAATTTATTATAATGTTGACACTCGATGAAAATTATTCTGAATATTATTTGTTTGGCCTCAAATTGAAAAGGCTATATGTCTATGGAGACCGATGGGAAGTGGGAGGGGGTAGGGTCGTCCACAGACTCTTCGTCTGGTTCAGGGCCAACGGCTGTAACATCAAATATCAGGGGATAAAATGCCCTCTTTTAATTTATCAGTTTTGTCTGTGGACTTCTTCATAAAATTAAAGAAAAGTACATGACTAGCTGAAGGCGCGTGCACTGGGAATGAAAACAGGACACACAAAATAACGATGCGTAAATCGGGCTATTTCTCTCTTCCGAAAATCACTGAAGCAATGCAACACGGTAGTCTGCTCCCTCAGTTTCACGTGCGGGATCCGTGGCTGTTACCTTGGCAATGGAACGTTTCCTCCTCCGGAACAGTCACTGTATATGTAGTTGAATTGGCGTGTTCTGTTTCACAAGTAAAACACAGCAAGAATTAGTTATACTATAGTTATATAAAAGAAGTATAAAATGTCATTTTTTGGGAAAAAATTAATAATATTTTGAATTTATAGGCGTATTGGTATCTACAGGTGTAATAGTAAGAAACGACTGGAATTTAGCTTCAGAGGAACTCAAAATGATATTCAGAAGCAATTCGAACATTGAAATGATGTAGAAATTGGTTTCAAGTTTCTCAAAATGCTGCTACTACTTCTCAGATTCGATTTTTCAGATCGATCGCGTTCTGTTGGTAAATACGGCGCTCTGACGTCTTTCAGATAACCCAATAGAAAAGAATATGTAAGAGTTAAGATTTGGAGATCTTGGGAGCCACAGTTTAGGGCTGCCACACCCACGCACCCTTCAGGAGACACATCTCCTCAGTGCCATGCCCGGCGTGTCCTTAATCTGAAATAAATTGTAAACTTATAAAAAGAAAACTGAGATAACAAATACTGTTTGAATTCACACTAATAAAATGTTATAACTCAATTAGTTTTCTCAAAACAAACTCTCATATAGCATATTTCATTTGTAATAATCTTATGTAAACACAGGCCTCTCTATAAAATACTTTTCTACAATCTGTCTGTTATGCACGTCTAGATGAAAATATCATCTGAAATTCACCTTAGTGCTGAAGGAGTTGGTGCCCAGAGAAGTCTGGGGTTCCGGAGAAGCTGCACTAGTCATAACTCCCAAGTACCCATTTGGGCGCCTCGCTGCATTTTCCGATCATACGACTGGTAAATCGTGCAGGGAAATGTGGTAAAAGTAAAGCTATCCCTGTAACAGGCCGTGGAGGCCCATAGGGTTGTGAGACGTCGAGGCTCCCACATTTTCTAGAAAATCGCCTCATAGATGGCGGCAAGGTTGTAAGTCCTACGCGCCGGCCGCCCTTTATATCCAAGAATAGTTGGTTGAGGCACTATGCTACAAGCCGGAAGGTCGCGGGTTCAAGTCTCGATGAGGTCATTGGATTCTTTTCAATTTACCTAATCCTTCCAGCCGCACTATGGCCCTGGGGTCGACTCAGCCTCTAACAGAAATGAGTACCAGGGAAATGTGGTAAAATCCATAAAACATAATTCGTTTCCATCAGCGTGTTTCAGTAAATGAAAATAAATTTGCCGAATTTCCGATATTAAATACAAGATGCTCAAGAATACGAGTATATGAGAGATAGCGGTATATTGCAGGTCAGAATTTCATTCGATCCCGGAAATATTTCTAGGGTCGTGTAATCATGACGTGGTGTTTGTCCAACAGAGGTTATGACGCAGAAATATATACTGTAAAGGTATAGCTATGCTGGAGACCGTATTTTGCAGGCGTGTGGGTGCGTGGAGGTGGACATTCACGTCATATAGTGCTCGATAGTTGAGTGTCAGTTTCACGCTTCAGCCGCTGTTATACCCAAGGGGGAGCGCCCCCTGGTGATGTTGTTTCGTATGGATAACAGACAACTGAGCACGTAGCTCTGGGATATGAATTCTTACTGATAGAAAATTTGGTAAAGGACTTGTTTGTTACGTGCTCCACACGGCCATCTGCAATATTTGTAACTCACCTATCGAATTGAGCTGAATATTGGGGTGCCCCTTCCGTTTGAATTGCAGCCAGGATTCACGGAGGTTGAGGTCCGACGGTCCCCAGTCCTCTGTGGGTTTCGTAGAAAGTAGAAATTTCTGTGAAGCAGATGGAATACGATCTCAGTGACAGTCTAGGATACCAGCCGGGCTCGGGATCAGAGAACGGACTTGCATTGAACCTTACTGAGTGGAGTGGTTCAGAATTGTACTCATATTTGTGGCGTGATCAGTTCGAGTCTCGGTCGGGGCAATGGTTATTCTGACTGAGGATTTTCTTTTTTTTTTTTTCCTCAATCTCTCCTGCTAAACGCCAGGATACTGTGACATTTAGACTCATTGCTAGGGGACGAGTTGACAAGCACGTTTCCGTGGAGATGGATTCTTTGGAAACCAACTCGTTACGGAACACGTTTCAGTGGATACGGGTGAGCAACAAGCATTTCATTGGATAAGGACACGATGTATAAGGGAACAGAATTGAGTTCAGATCAGTGGAAGACAGAACAGAATGCAGTCGGCCGTAGTTCAGAGCAAATTGGAGCGAGTGCTAGGCAGTCTTTGGTTGTGAGTTATTATAAGTTATTGTGATTACAAGTGATTGTAAAAGAATGATCAATAAATCCAATCAGCCAATCCAAACTCCTTATTAGTCATGCCCATAAATACGTAACAATTTTTTCCCCTTTTGCGCTACAGCCCCAATTTGGGGCTTGGCCTACCTCCATGAAACTCTCCGTTTCACTTCGGTTTACTACTCGTAGATCTTAGACATTCGGTAGGATTCCTTGGGCGGGTGATCAGCTCATCGCAAGGCCTCTACCTGTACACAAACACAGAAAAGCGAGAACACACGAACACCAAAAATCTATGCCTTGTGTGGGATTCGAACACACGATCCCGGCTTCCAAGCGAGCGAAGACAGTGCATGCCCTAGACCGCTCGGCTACCGTGACCGTCTATACGTGACAATACTATCAGAAATTAGACCACGTCCTCTCTACAATACTCCTCATTAAATAATCATATTTATTATTTAACTGAGACATGGATAGCGTTGTTAAATAAACCACAAATAAATAACTATACTGACTGCTATTATGATTCTAAGTAACTTACATATTAGAAGTTATGAGGGCAATATCTGCCTTCTATAGTAGACTGTACGTACATAGTAACAAACTTCGCACTCCAGCAAATGTTTTGATGCTCGATTACATGAATATGCCTATGTATAAATACGCGTTCGAAATGTCTAACTTATAAATTAGTTCGATCTTACAGCCTATGGAGGAATAGAATTTCAGGTTGTCATTATAAGATTGTTATAATCAGGGTCGAATACTTCTATGCTTAAGATGGAGGCATTATGTCCTTCAGAAACAATCTACAAGCCTGTGGGGTGTGATAAGCCTGAAACCTCAAATGAAGACCCTGAATGGCTCATTGTCCGATGTCGCTAAGTGAATACTCACGTCTTTCAGTGACGAGCCTTTCTGCTGGAAGATGTTGACTATAGCCCAAAATGGTATCTGGGCCATTGAAAGACATCCTAGGCACCAACCGACTGCATCAGCCCAGTCGGGATAGTCGTACGTTTCATCCCCTAGAGGCTTAAACTTTACTAGAGATATGATAAATATTACCTGGAAGGAAAATGGATCTGTTACATTACATAAAATTACCTCCCAATTGATTTGATACTATATATTGTATTTAAGTACCCTGATGCATTACTATAGCTCTTACAGTAACACAGCTCCGTCAACAACGAAACTATTTTCATTCTTTCCCTTTCATAACATGTTTCGGCCCCAGTCGGCCATCATCAAGTGTCAGTTTTCCAAAAAAAAAAAATATTATACTCCGCCGATTTGGGCCGAAACATGTCGTGAAAGGAAAAATGAAAGGGAAAGAATAAAAACAGTTGCATTGTTGACTGAACTGTGTTACTGTCTGCAAGATTCGACACTATATAGCCTCTACAATTGGCATAGCACCATTAAATATTATAAGAAACAATATGATCATCTTGTAACCTAATTTAAAGTTGCATAAACTCTGAGTTTGGAAGACTGTCGATAAATATGCTAGAATACACTAATAATAATTACCGCGAGGATGACAGGGGCGAAAAGAGCCCATGTAACTCTCCAGTAGATTTCTGGCCGTTTTCCAAGCATGAAATGCATATCGTCACAGATATTGGACAAACCTGCGAAACAAACCAACGTCATATCTTCACGAACTAAGTACTTCATTTTATTCCCTTAATAACTTAACAGCAATAAAAAAATGAGGAGCTTCATAACTTGTACTCTTCTCCAAGTATAATTACAATGATCAAGTCAAGGAGGATGAGGTGGGAAGGTCGTGTAGCGCGAATGGGGGAGACGAGGAATGCGTATAGGATATTGGTGGGAAAGCCAGAAGGAAAGAGACCACTGGGAAGACCAAGGCGTAGACAATATTAAAATGCATCTTAGAGAGATAGGATGCGATAGTATTGATTGGATTGATATGGCTCAGATAGGGACCAGTGGAGGGCTCTTTTGAACGCGGTAATGAACCTTCGGGCTCCAAAAAATACTGGGATATTCTTGAGTGGCTGCACATTTGGCGGCTTCTCAAGAAGGGCTCAGCTCCATGAGTGAGTGAATAACTGAACAGTCATGTGATGGGTTCTCCTGAATTCACAAGAATATTGTTCCATTCCCCAGAATATGTGTTAACTGTTTCCTCCTGTTAAAAAAAAAGGTGACGAAGTAGTCGAAACACTTTACAGAAAAAAATTAATAAATATTACGTATAGCTCATCACTTTATCTCACACGACACTTAACAAATAACTAAGAATACAATAACTCCATTGTACTAAGCAGCATCTGTACGACATAACTTCAGCGGCTGGTTTCTAAACACTGCCAACCCAGCAACGTTTAACTTCAACAAAAGTTCTTACACTTCACGGCTACAACTCTTATTCGCGCGCTTACAAACGTTATCACTGCCCAGCGGATATTTGTATCTGCATATTGAAAAGTATATAGTTTGTAATGCAGATATCTACAGAAACAATTAAGCTCACTATGTTTATGGACACAGACAAATGTGCATTGTATAAGAAGCAGTAAGTCCCATACTTACGTAAGGAAGTGAAAGCTGGCTCCTCAAAAGGCAAGAAGAAAATATGCTCCGAATCATTAAAAGAAGGAGATTAAGAAGAAATTGTGGCCCAATTAAGGAAAATGGAATGTGGAGATCAAGGTATAACCATTAAATTTTAAATTATATAATGAACCAGATATAGTGAAAGTGATCAAAGTAGGGTGGTTGAAATGGTTGGGACGAGGTTTTAGAAAGCAGTAGCAGAACTTCTGCATAAACCAAAGGGCACTCGACGAGTAGGCAGAACTGCTATCAGATGGTTGAATTCAGTTGAAACAGATTTTAAGACAATGGCCCTTAGAAATCGGAGACGAAAGTCTCAGGATCGGGACCAGTGGAGAGCAATCGTAGAAGAGGCCACGGTTCACCATGGACTGTAGCGGCCGCAGAAGAACAAGTAGAAGTAGAAGAAGAAGAATTAGGAGGAGGAGGAGGAAGAGGAGAATAATAAGAAGAAAGTATCTCAGGTGGTTTACATTTTAGCGGCCGTACTGTAATTCATAAGGCAATTACCTTAACAAACACTGCGTGTTTTTCTATGATCTACTACTATACAACACTTCAGAATTCTTCACTGTGCTTACATCAGAAGTGGTCAGGTCATGATGCTGGTTCTATTACGAGTAATAGTAGGAAATTAAAACAATGAAACGGAGTACTGGCCTGTATCATATAACATATTAAGAAAATGTTTATAGTAAGGCAGGAGGTCGAAAAAGCGGCCTCCGTAGTCTAGGGGTAACGTTCCCACCCATGACTCAAGGTACGCGGGTTCAAACCCGGCGGAGATCGTGGAATTTTTAAGGGCGGAAAAATTCAGGGAACAAGTCCTCCGGGAGGGACTTTAAGCCGTGGGTCCCGTGTCGTAACTTTAAGGCACGTAAAAGAACCTCATGTCTTTAGGAGAGCTCTGAGCAAAATTAGGTAAAAAGTTTCCCGACCAAGTAGTTTCCAATGCCTCCGGTAGACTGGGAAGCATCGGGTACCACAGCCAGCCTCGCTGGCTGAACGGTGCTGATAGCGAACACCAGTAACGGCAAGGTATGGAGACTGGTAGAATATCAAAAGGGGACGTACAATAGAATATTAGTCGCGGTGCATGGGGAAACCCACCCCCTCCAATAATAATAATAATAATAATAATAATAATGAGGTCGAAATATTTTGTACGTCCTCAGTTTCGGCCATCGGTAATATAAAAATATTTCATACTTAGTTGCAAACCTCTTCTAAATCTAGACACGAAGGTTTACCATAGATCCATAGCAAGCTGATGCATTCTGCAATGGCAATGAAGAGCACTGCAATTCCACCTCCATACACGTCCATAAGCGTGAGAACATAGTTGCCACCCTGCAGCAGAAGATAACGGGACCCCAGAAGGGGCATGTTGAAACACACTTCCGTCTTGTAAGATATGAGGTTTTCACGGCTGTGACTATGAACAATGCCGTCTTCTGGGATGTGGCTCCACGTAGATCTAGTGTAAATCGACGTTTCGTAGGAACGTATCACCTCCATCTTCAGGGTAGAAAAGTCCGCGAGTGAGGAACCAGCGTGTGCAGGTGGCTGCAGCCACATCCCAGAAGACGTCATTCTACATATCCGTTTTCTCTTAGCAACAAATTAAACAGATTAACTGGATGATTGCAGCATCCACTCACAATTTTTCCTTAAGTGTAATATCAGTCCTTATTTTTTAAGGAAACAACTCATGGATTTTTAGCATTACAGTAAGACCTCACTAAGACGGACTAGTTGGAAGAGAACCCTTGTCCAAATTACTGAAAGTCTGAAATACAGAAGTGCCGATGAAAATGTGTTCAGGTAAGTTATAAAATGGACTTCACGTATGTATTTATACAATGCAATTTTATTTCGAAACTTAGCTTGGATACCAATAGATTCTAAAATGTTCTGACGATGGTGTATGACACTCAGATATACTGAGTTTTCAGACTTTGTCCATCGTCCAGTGACTGAGGGACCCAACAGAGTATGTGTCTCCCCCACCCCTCTCACCTGAGGACGGAAACAGATCGAGTTTCTGAAACGCTGTGTTTTCTAGTTTCTAGAATACCGGACGATTGACAAAGTCCTAAACCCCAGTAAGTCTGAGTATTATGTTGCATATCATGAAATAAATTTACTTGCCATAAAATGTAAAACTCTGAGTTTTGATGGGGGTCTTGAAATATTTCAGGCAGCGGCAATGTGATCATCAAGGTCGTAATGAGCAAAAGAGCCCGAATTATTGCGAATTCCAAATTAGTGAGGTTTCACTGTATTTTATAACATTTTTCTTATCATTCGTTAATCACATAAAAAATTGTATAACATTTGAGATTCTCATGGCACATGGAAATTACTGTCTTGTTGAATGTGACGCCGTGTATTCCGATTGAAATTTACTGACGTTTCGAAAGAACCTAATACTTCCAGGGAAGAAGCTGGAGGCAGTATGTTTGTCCGTAACGTTGATAATTTTCTACCAAATTTCAGGGCGTCAGGTCTAAAAATGCACAACTATTTAGAGACAAAACTGTAACGACTCTTTCTCTTGACACTTAACATTCAGCAGTTGGCGTATTTAACGTTCTTTGTTGTGAAGTATTGGTAATACGTATTCAAGTGCACCAGTATATTTCAACACCTCCACATATTCCTAAATTACTTTATTACTAATAAAATTGTAACCCTATAAAGCATAAGAAACGTAAGATTAAAAACTGATATTTGTAGAAAGTAACACTGGATCAAAAATATATAGGATTTCTGAAGAAAATCAGACATTAGAAATAATTTATAAATAATAATATAATATATATAATAATATAATAATAATATAAATAATTTATGAAGAAAATGATGCAGGATTAAAACAGACATAATTTATGAATGAAGTACCACAGGATTAAGAATAGATAGAATTTCTGAAGAAAGTAACACAGGATTGGGAATAGATAGAAATAAATTCTGAAGACGGAAACATAAATTACAGGCAGCTAGAAACACAAGAGTAACTGATGTAACAGGGTACGCGCCATAGCTCAAGCGGTTAGTCGCTGGCTTCGCAAACCCGGGTCTGGTCAAGTGGGATTTGTGGTGGACAAAGTGGCGCTGGGGTAGGTTTCTTCCGAATACTTCGGTTTCCCCTGCCAATCTTCATTCCACCAAATTCTCCATCGTCATAATTACCCGGGGCAGGTACAATAGGTCAATCAGTGGCCGCCGTGCCGAGTGGACCCAAGTGGACTCCATCCCCCCATTATGCGAATTAAAAAAACTGATGTAACATCTGGAAATTAACATAATTACTGGAATAATGCCAGGATCACATGCAGATCGAAGAACTCAAGAATAAGCGATGTAAGGATTAGCGACAGGGAGAATTACTCACATAAGTAACGCAGGAAAGTCCCACCAGGTAGCAGACCACGGCGATAGATATACAGAAAGTTAGTTTGTGGTTGCGAAGAACCGTGAACTCGTCGGAGACGCTAGTGAGGACGTTTTCCAGCAACGCGAACTGCAAACACACTGAACACATATTAACGTTTCGACTACAGCATACACCTCCACAGTCACATGAAGAAGGAATCGTAAGTTCATCACAGCTAAAACAAAATTCCCTCTTTTGTCTCTGTCCTGAACATGATCAATCCCTCCATCAGAGCCTGAGATAAGACAGTAAATGATTCTGTGGACATGGCTTCGTGAATGTTAAGTTGAACCAATTAAATGACTATTCAGAGATTCCCTTTAGTGCGGTCCTGGAAACAGGGCTTGAAAGTGCTGCCACCTACCGCTACGAGTCTTGTTGGTTTGGCGAGCTGCAGAACATAAATTCAAATCAATAATTTATATTAACGGTTTATAAGCACCATTTTTTCTGGGATTCGATAAACAAAATATATCTCACAACTAAAACTATAAATAAATACGTCATTTTAAGAATCTATTCTATGAAACGTAGAGTAAAAACAAATACCCCACCCCACACAGCATTGAATTTTTATTGTGTATTGTTGCGTTAGTTTGATTCCTGCAACGACCGGCAAGTTCATATGATGCAAATGCCCTCAACCTGTAGGCAGTCGTCAGGTACAGGATTCGAATCTTGGCTTAGTCATCACTTATTCTGACCAAATATTTTCATAGCTTTATTCAGTCTCTGTAGACGAAAGCAGTGATATCAGCTTCAAACAGACCTTGATCTCTATTCAAATATTTCTCTACTCACTCTACTCTACTCTTTCCAGCTCTTTCGACACATTTTTAATAATACCGTAACACTGTCCAAGAATCAACCATCACTTTTCCGTATCTTGGTGCGACAAAAAATTCCAACTCTCATTATAAATATTATATTTATAACGTGCAGAGAACGCAAAGGGACACTTGATAAATACAACCAAGGAAACAACACACCAACAAAATACAGAAACAGCCGCATTTAAAAAAAGCACGAAAACATCAACGACGTAACTGAAAGAATGCTATTCGACTAGTGCGCAGTGCATTATACTCCTTAAGAAAGTGTTGCCTGAAGATGGCCTTATATGGCCGAAACATGTAGCATTGTGATAATGCATATATATTTTAATATTTTACTGTCTTCATAATTTTAAAAACATGTTATACTTTTAACACGGTAGCGTAGTTGGTTGAGGGGTTATGCTACAAGCCTCAAGGTGGCGGGTTAAAGTCCCGATGAGGTCATTGGATTTTTTCAGTTGACCTAATCCTTCCAGCCGCATTAGGCCCTGGGGTTTACTCAGCCTCTACCAGAAATGAGTAACAGGAATTAATTAAATTAATTAAATAATTTTCCTGGGGAGTAAACAGCGGCCGGCGCGTAAGGCTGACAACTTTACCGCCATCTTTGAGCCGACTGTCTAGAAAATGTGGGACCTTCAACGTCTCACAACCCTAAGGGCCTACACGGTACAGGCCTGGTAAAGGGATAGCTTTACTTACTGTATTTTTTATACTTTTAACGATCACTGTATGCATTAAATGCGAATCAGTGTTATTAATTTGTTGCATTTTAGACGGAAGAGCAAAAATAGATTATAAGTACATTATAGAGGGATAAATCAGCCGAAACTTTAAGCTGATCATTCACCTTATCTACTGTCGAAATGTATAATGCACGCAACTGTACATATAGAGCACCTTTACGCCTCCACGGAGTGGTGCTTGGAATATGACGTTACTTTTACCCGGCGCATGAGAATGGTTGCATAGTCTACATTACAGGTTCTGAGGTAGAGGGAAGTGATTAACTTCCTTCTGCACTGGGACTAAAGGTTATATACCCTTAGGAGTCGCACTTGAAGCAGGGACTGATGCGTACCTGGTCCAAATTGCCTTGTACTGCTCTTAATGGGATGCAGAGAAGTGGGTTTATACAGTAAGACCGTGATAAACGACATCTTCATTATAATTAGGCCTTTATTTATATAAATGCAATACCAAGAATATAAGAGTGAAAGCTAATATAAGATTACCTCGAATCAGTGGAAATTCCTTATCACAAGAAGGTAAATTAGAAACAATAGTTTCGCCTGCAATGGTTTTCTTGAAAATAAACAAATTTGGTCCAAAAATTCTTCTTGAAATTTAGCTGAAAAGGAACTTTCCTCTTATTAATGACAAGGAGCTGAGTCTGTCCACAAAAGAGGTGGAGGGTATTTTTTCGAGTACAGGAAAACGAAAAAAAAAAAGTTCATGAAAATTTGTACTTCTCAGTAAGTGTGCAGTGTACAAATTTAGCATAATTTCCTGCTTTATGAACTGAATATTGATCACTCTATATAGGCCCACTGTAAAATATGGTTTGCCTTCTTCACGAGAAATGTTGTCTGAGCCCATAAAGTGTGTTAGAGGGGCCGCGCCATAGCTCAAGCGGTTAGTCGCTGGCTTCCCACCGCGGCGGCCCGGCTTCAATCCCGGGTCTGGTCAAGTGGGATTTGTGGTGGACAAAGTGGCGCTGGGGCAGGTTTTCTCCGAGTACTTCGGTTTCCCCTGCCAATCTTCATTCCACCAATTGCTCCACAATCACCCTCACCTATCGTCTGGGGCTGGTACAATAGGCCAGAAGTGGCCGCAGTACAAGGGACTTAGTCCCACCCCACTAAAAAATAAAGCTATCCCTGTACCAGGCCGTGAAGGCCCATAGGGTCATAGGGTTGTGAGACGTTGAGGTTCCCACATTATCTAGACATTCGGCTCAGAGATGGCGGTAAGGTTGTCAGCCCTACGCGCCGGCCGCGCTTTACTCCCCAGGAAAATTATTTAAATAATTCCTGGTACTCATTTCTGTTAGGGGCTGAGTAAACCTCAGGGCCTAGTGTGGCTGGAAGGATTAGGTCAACTGAAAAAAAAATCCAATGACCTCACTAGCAATAAAAAAAATTAAATTAATGTTTGTTGGATCCTTAGCGAGGGACAAATGAAGTGGTACATACGAGATTATTCGTATAGTAGCAAGGGCACAATAGTAGGTTCGATAAAAATATGTTCTTTGTGAGAGTTTGGATTTTTCATAATTATGACTATAAAGATTACAATATTGTGCCTCCATATTTAGGGTTCAGAGAGGGGCCCTGAAGGTGCAGACAGTCTCCTCTTAAACGTCTCTAAATATACGTATATCTCGTGGCTCTATCAAGTCATTCCAGATAAATTCTCTACTAGATTATTATGAGACCTTTATCCCTTACTACGATATCCTCCTCCAGTTCATCATTAATCCTGCTACTAATCCACGCTACATAACCCGTTCAACTAAGAAAATTCCTTTACATAAAGAAAGATAAAGTAGGAAATATGAAGTATATTTGAACTATACACGTATAGTTTCTTATTCAGGAGGATGACGTCACTGAATAGTCATAAATCGTGTTATGACGTAACTTATGACATCATCATGCACTGGAAGTTTCAGTACAAAGGAATGTGAAACATCTGTTGATGACGTTACCCATCACATGCTAACATACTTGTAGAAATACTCCCAACAACAAATCAATCCGCACTGATAACATACTGATTTAAAAATAACAGTTTCACAAGAGAAAAACAATTTTATATAAGCACTAAATTTGCACTGAAATGGCAGACAGTGTGATAAGCCGAGCGATTTCCGTGTAGACCCATGTACCCATCACCAATACCCTCCCTCATGTACTGGTCTAGAAATCCATTAGTTTGTTTCTGAATAAATCAGTACATAAACACATTCATCCATCGATCAATAGTCATTCGGCAATTAATAGTACATGCAAACATTGAACAAACAATACAGCCATCAGTACATAGAGTCAAGCATTACTCAGCACATCTACGCATTTAACAATTACTCAGTGTAGCCATGTCCTAAACTGAAACTAAACGGGACACATCAGCTGCTGGTCTATGCTGACGACATGAATCTACTGGGTGATAATGCAGATAGCATAAAGAGAAACACAGAAAGTTTAATTAATGCTAGGAAGAAGGCTCATCTTGAAGCAAACACAGAGAAAACAAAGCATATGTTGCTGTCTCGTCAGCAGACTTCGGGACAAATTCATGACATAAAGAGAGCTAAAGGATCCTTTTGAAAACTTGTCACAGTTCAAGTATTTGTAAACGAATGTAAGAAATCAAAAATTGATTCAACAGGAAATTAAGAGGGCATTGAACTCGGGTAATGTTTGCTACTATTCAGTTCACAACATTTTGTCTTCTCGTCTGCTGCCTAAAAACATAAAAATTAGAATATACAAAAATTATAATTTTGCCTGTCGTTCTGTATGGGTGTTAAACTTTGTCTCTGACATTAAGGGAGGAATATAGACTGATTGTGTTTGAGAACAGGGTGCTATATTTGGTGTGTATTTGGACCGAAGAGAGATGAAGTGACAGGAGGTTGGAGAAAATTGCATAATGAGGAGCTTCATAACTTGTTCTCTTCACCAAGTATAATTACAATGAACAAGTCAAGGAGGATGAGATGGACAGGGAATGTAGCACGAATGGTGAGAAGATGAATGCATATAGCATATTGATGGGAAATCCAGAAGTAAAGAGACCGCTAGGAAGACCAAGACGTAGACAATATTACAATGGATCTTAAAGAGATGGGATGGGGCGCTATGGACTGGATTGATCTGCCTCAGGACACGGACCAGTGGAGGGCTCTTGTGAACACGGTAATGAACTTTCAGGTTCCATAAAATGCTGGGAATTTTTTGAGTAGCTGCATAAATGGCGGCTTCTCAAGAAGGGATTATCTGAATGAAGTTAGTTATCCACATCCTTAGTTAATAAATAGAACGAATTCGTACATTCATCATACAATCGAAGCACATTTCATTCCAACAGTAAATACATTTTCATATAAACCAATCAATACGAAGATTACGGCCTTATTGGATGTAACGCCATGCAGTCTCGTAGATTGCTACCGGCGTTTCGGAAGGATTTGCCATCTCTATCTTCAGAGTAGCAGATATCAACACATTTACATATTAATCAGCCTATCCTATTCAATCATCCACATCAAGGGACCACTGATTCTGTAGTTAGTTAGTTATTAGAGAGGGTGGGTTTCCCCATGCACTTAGACCTGTAGTGGTCCATTGTGCTTCCCTCTATGATTTCTACCAGTCTCTATATCCTACCGGTATTGGTGCTTACCATCAGTCCCGCCCAGCCAGCGAGACCGGCTCTACTGACTGAGAAGTATCTATAATGCTTCCCCCCATCTACCGGAGGTATTAGTGACTGCTGTTGGGCGGGAAACGTCCGCAACTTTGGCTCAGTGACCTCCTTTGGAGATATGAGGTTCTTTAACATGCCGTAAAGCTACGACACGGGACCCACGTCTTAAAGCCCCTCCCGGAGGACTTGTTCCCTGAATTTTTCCGCCCTTAAAAATTCGACGACCTCCGCCGGGTATTTGAACCCGCGTACTAGGAGTCATGAGGTGGGAACGTTACCTCTAGACCACGAAGGCCGCTACTGATTCTGTTGATCAATGCATCAAGTAATGAAGAACAGAGACATGGGTAAGGAAGTGGCGCGGACTGGCACTGGTTCAGAGGTGTTTCGCCACAGGAAAAGGTTTGAAGTTGAATGCTAGAAACTCACTTCACTATCCAATCCGAGTACAAACAGCATGAGGAAGAATAAGATGGACCAAAGTTGAGGTACCGGGAGTCGAAGTAGAGCCTCCGGATAAGCAACAAAGGCCAATCCGGGTCCCTCCTTCACCACTTGTTCTATAGGCACTTGAAGGTCATGAGCCATGGCCCCTAGGATGGAGAATGTGACCATTCCGGAGATGATGCTGGTCACTGTGTCCAAGACACTCACCACTAAGGCATCCCTGCAAACAGGAAGAGAGTTTGAAGGTAAGGAAGCAAATCAGATCCAAAAACTAAAATCCAGACGTGCACAGCCCTAAGAAGCGAGTGGAAAATAAGTGTATATATTCAAAAGTGTTCTTTGCGATGTGGCAAAATCATTACACGTGATGCCCATTTACTGCACATACATTTACAACAGAGCCAAACAGCTCCTCCACATACACGTATTATACCGAGCTGCGCAGATTCATAAATGTCTTTCCTCTCTTCCGTTATATAAGGAAAATGTCAGAAAATCATTAAGATAAAATTTATGGATTTTAATGCCACAAATTTTGTCAATGTCCGTTCAGTAATTTTGCAGCAGATAAAACAGGCGGAAAGACAGTTACAAACCCTATATTAAATGTCCAAAGTATATATTTTCTTCAAAGAAAGAGACACAATATTATTAACTGTTAAAAATTTTCTTTATGAATGAATATTTTGTAACATCAACATCATAATTCATTTAAAAATGAAAGGGGTCACAGCGAGTATTTGTGATTTTGCAGTATATGCTTAAAATAACCACACACTTTAGGGCAACCTCGTCTTCGAAACTGTTGAACGAACAACATTAAAATTAGTTATTGTGCATCTACACTAAAATTTGTCAGGTGAGTATAATTACTGCGTACATTAACCTCGTTTCCTTCTTGATAACTGCCATTTTCGCTTAAACATGGGCGCTATCTATTGCAGAAACTGTGCGTATGTGAAATTCAATATCATGTATTAATTTAATATGAAAACGACACTGATTTTGTATGTTACAAATCAAACTATGCTCATTTTCTCTAAAATGTATCATCATACTCACACAAAAATGGGCACACGGCATGGAATTTAATACTAACCGACGTCTGCAATGTTTATTCAAATATTTTTCGGCATTCCGAATATAAATAGAGACAAACGCCTACAAGGAAAAGTAATCTTAACTCTACAAGGACCTTTAGCACAGCTAATGTAACATAAATTTCCGAAAATCAATGTCAGTATATTATATGCCATGAGAAGGAGCGCGTTATAAAATTGTGTACACTCCATTTCTCTTGTTACATCTTTATAAGCGCCATATTGAGCCGCTACTGCTCTCAATATACGTGTATAAGTAAGTAGAAGTCCGCCATTTCAACTCGTTCAGTATGAGAAATAAAAGGTTTTGCCTTTAAGTGTTTCGGTCACTATAGGCAATCACCATAAGGCACAGCCAGACCCTACAAAGGGACTACTTTACATGTATTGATTGATCATGAGATGTCACTGTATGTCGCATCACTATCACCCACCAGGGCACGTCCTACACACTGCCACGCACTTGAGTGGGATACACATAGCATCACAGATGGACATACGGCCCACGCACTAATTCTACGCATCCAGCTGTAGAAACGAGGACAGTCATTACATTTTTGTATATTTTAACTTATTTTAACCGATTGTAACAAATTGCTCCTGATATATGAAACTTACTGTAACTGTATTAACAATTTAGTCTTGATTTCTATGGCTACTGTGCTTACCTTTAGGACAAAGTGACAACTTATGTTCAAACAACATATGCAGTCCCTTTACATCTGTCGATGGCCAATATTTGCCGAAATATGTGAAGGCAAAACTTTTAATTACCATTATTAACCCTCTAAATCCCAGTGGTTACTGTATGTACCGTCTGTTTTAACATATTAAATTCTGAACTCTGAACACAGAGTGTATCTGTGTGTTTCGTTTAGTTCTCACAATAAACAACGATTCCTTCCCTACGCAGAATTAGCCGGCTTGTCTCCGTTGTGGAGAGGTAATATGTTTCCTGTGAGGTACGAACTGAATATAGTATTCAGAAGAAAATATGACTGTGCTGGCAAAGCCAGAAGCAATTTAACCGACCGACCGGTCTTCAGAGGGTTAAACTAGTTACACTTAGCCGAACTCCTGCTACTTATTTATATATATATTTTTTTATGTTTATGAATGCGGACAATAAAAACTTTTCCTTCAGAATCGCCTAATCTAAGTGGATTTTTCAAATACCTGTTACATTTAAGTCTCCTAAATGCTATAATATTTCTAGAATATTCTATTAAGTTCAGTACTACAATTCCAGAGTGTAATATTTAACGTTAGAAGTATCGTGAAAACATCAGCTCATTTCATTTAGCAGTTCAATTAGCATGCAGTTTACCGTGACCCAAGTCTTCTCCACCGCTCCAAGGAGTTTTAACGGAGACTCAAACGCAAGTCTGCGGCGAGCACAATGAATCACACAAATATACGTAAAAGTCGGCAGTAAATTGATGTAAAATAAAGTTATATAACGCTTTAATAAGTCATTCGAGAGTCCTGTTTTAGGTACTGGAGCATCGATAGGACAATTAGAATAGCGCAAAGAGGAAAATGAACTTCAAAAGAATAAACGTATTTTTAAAATTTTCATTCGTGACTGGCTATTAATTTGTTGCTGATACAATTGTTCCAGAGCTAATGTCACTTCATGCATGACATTACCGTAAGATAAAAGATGGTCTCCCTTTATTTATTTATTTATTTAGAAATTAGAAAAGGCCCGTTGAAACCAGCGGTAAACCAAAAATTTTAATGCAGGAATACTGTTTTTCAAATGTTATCCGATTGCAGTGAAAGCCTTTGCTTATTTAGAAGAAATAAATATATATATATATCACTTGCAATGGAATTTTATTGGACGAAATATTAAATTCTTCTTAAGTTATGCTGCAATGGAGGACAATGCGATTCATGAATATTTAGGCTGCAAAATCGTGAATATTCCAAAACAACTCAAGGACATTACATCAGTAATTAAGTAAATGTCAGAAAAGAGTATAAGGTATCCCTGTAACAGGCCGTGGGGGCCAGAGGTTGTGAGATGTTGAGGTTTCCACATTTTCTAGATAATCGGCTCATAGATGGCGGTAAGGTGGTCAGCCTTACGCACCGGCCGCCCTTTATCCCAAAGAATATTCCTGGTACTCATTTCCAGAAAAGGGCGTATCTTTAATTAATTTCACACTCTGGATTAATAAAGCAATTTTATGCTCAGAGAATTATGACGTAGATCACATTAATGAAGAAGTTCTTGAAGGACAACATATATGAGGTATACAGACTTTGCGATGATATGTTTCAAGCATAATTTAGAGTCTTTCTAATATATTCCTGATTGTTTCTTAGTGGAATCTGTTGTCGCGGTGACTAAAGTCAACAGGTGTACATGTATACCGCAAAAATCGTATGTTTTTGTTGCTGAATACATTTGAACTTCAGAAAAGGCTAGTATAGACAGGGTACACTGAACTATGTCTTATATTGTTTACGGAGATGTGAATTCAAGCCTGCATAGACTACATGGGCCTACGAAGTATCAAATCTTGGTTTCAGACTATAACTCTCAAAACGTTTTACTGAACTGGCTTACATGGGCGCCTTCTACCCTCTTGTTTTGAAAATGAAAGAAGCCTTCCAAATCATAAATGCCAACGATACTTCACGCGTCCACATCAAAACAATATCAGTGCTCACATAAAAGACATGATACACTGAAACAAAAGACTGTTCGCTCGTTCGTGATCTGCTACACAACATTACTTTCTTACCTGTATACGTTGTTGCGGAAATCATTGTAGCTGCTGTACATTATAAGACCGCCCATAGATACGCTGAGGGAGAAGAACATCTGTCCGGCTGCCGCTTGCCATACCTGAAAGAGGCGCAGGGGTTGCAGTCCACATTTCTACATTTTGCTCTATTTCAGGAAATTCACTGAAGACTTTACTAGTCAAAAAGTTTACTATTCCTTTTTTTTTCCTTGGCACTACAGCCCCAGTGGGCCTAGGCCTACCTCCATGAACTTCTCCGTTCACTTCGGTTTTTCTAGATCTTACACATTCGGTAGGACTCCTTGGGCGGGTGATCAGCTCGTCGCAAGGCCTCTACCTATACACAAACACAGAAAAACGCACACACACAAACTAAACATCCATGCCTTGAGTGGGATTCGAACCCACGATCCCGGTTTCCAAGCGAACGAAGAGAGTACATGCCTTAGACCGCTCGGCTACCGTGACCGGCGATTATTCCTTTACGTTTCCTAAATAAATTAGTACGGGCTGGACGATCTTGTTATGACATTCCGTAAAGGCAGAGACGTTAACATCCCCAGATCTACTCTGGAACTCGGCTGATTTTCCATGTATTGGGTTCAGATCTAGCCACAGAAGCGAAGTGGCCTGAATGTGAACGTAACTTCTCATGGTACTCGTAAACAATCCTCCACACGCCCTATATGCTTTCATGGCGTGGTAATTAGACAGATGGGAAACTCTGTATTTATGTAACATTCTTCTTTGTATTCTATTCCTGTTGCTCCCACTTGGAGCACAGGGCATCCGCGAAACGCTTCGTTTCACTTCGGTTTCTTAATCTTAGACAGTCGGTAGGACTCCTTGGACGGGGATCAGCCCGTCAGAATGCTGCCACCCAACACAAACGGAATATAAACATAAACAGACATCCATGCCTTGAGTGGAATTCGAACCCACGATTCAAGTGTTCGAGTGGGCGAAGACATTTCATGCCTTAGACCGCGCGGCCACTGTGATCGGCATACCTCGGATTACTGATGTCCAAATTATATGGCCAAGCCATTATATTTCGTAAGGATTTCAAATAGCAAATTTGATCAAATTCGGTAATTAAAAGCGAACTCATTCACACACACATTTAAGCAGACGTTATAGAGGAATTAGGGGCTCACGATTTTTTCATTTCGAAACACTTATAAGGAGAATACTGAAATGTTCGGAAAGTCGTCATTAACTGTTTCCCCTGTTCGAAAACCCGAAAATTAGGAAACTGGACTGAGGTAATACAGTACCTGTATCAATATACACCACAAGTCAGACATTCTTTCTGAAACCATGGCATCATACCCTGATACCTGATCTATCGAAGCCGTCAGAAACTCTGACAATACAAAAAATTCCGTGGCTTTAGCCCTCAAGCGAACTATAACGACCGAGCGACCGCCGCTTGTTAATGCCAATTTTAGCGGATATAGAGTGTCGCGTGGTGAAAGCAACGGATTCCCACGGCCGTTAATTTCGGTTTTCTAGACCGGAGCCGCTACTTTTCCATTTAAGTAGCTTCTCAATTATCATCACAGGGCTGAGTGGACACCGTCCCAGACACACTACTTCTCAGAGAATCTGGTAGCGCCGGGAATCGAACCCGGGACTTCTTGATCTGTAGCCAGGAACTCTGACCACTAGACCACAGAGACTACACAGCGTAGGATTATTGGATGACAGTGAATATTCAGTGAGTATACAAATTTGAAGAAGGCGGCTGTGGTCTTATTTAAGATTTAAGACTGGCGATAGCAATAAAAGACCTAAGCCAAGATACCTGGTGTACCGGGTGAGGTTTGAAGTAGGCACCTTCCGAACATTAGAAGCGTTACCGCTTGAACTGACTTTTTCGCTACATTTTCATCTAACATGACTAAGTGCTACGTTCTAGGTCTACTCCACTCGGAGTACCATGTTCGAATACCAACAGCAATGAACGGCGTGAGATACATCTTGCAATCGGTTGAACACGTCGCCTTCACCATCAGGCTAGAAGTAAAAGCGAGAAGCTAGCATGAAGCAGGTAGCAAGGTCAGTTAAGTACACAGCAGAACTCTTCAAAGCCGCCGCTGTGAGAACCTTGAATCCTATGTAAACAGTCTATAAAGGCAAAAAGGTGAGGTAAGGTGAAGTTGTCCCTGTGCACTACGCCATGAAGGCGTATGGGGGAGTGGATGTATAGATCCACATTCTCTTTACTTCGGCACTAGCTCGATGTGAGTGGTCAGCTTCACGCACCAGCTGCTTTACCCCCGGGGAAAGAGCCCCCGATACCCATTGGATAGAAGGGAGTCTGTCTGGACGACGTGGAGAAGAGAAAATTATTGACCCTACAGAGACTCGAACTCCGACCCCTCAGCCTTCCAGCTCGTAGCCAATCACTATACCGACTATGCTACCCCGGCTCCTATGTAAACAGTCTATACTGGGATTTTCATATTTTTCATTTGCAGTCCTAAATTCCTTTTCTTTCCTATCCTCCAAAAAGACATCCATTCTCATATTACTTTTGATTACTTACAAGACTGAAATTAATGCAGGGTTATCTAATTATCCACCAAACACCCGTAGAAAGCGACATAAACACACAGACTCGAAAAGAGCGGGAAACGTCACGCGGCTGATGGTTTATTTTAGGATGTCTTCATCTTCTCAGACTAAATAACGCTTAACGGTAGTATGAGTGGTGGGTAGTGAATCGGAAAGGAGCTGGGAAGAAGTGGTTGTGGCCTATTCCGGAATTTGTTTAGAGGAAATGGAGAAAAGTAAAAATTAGTTTAGTCAGGAGACCCGCTGTCCCGACAGAGACTCGAACTGAGCACTTTCGGTATACAAGTTTAAAGCGTTACCGCTGTACTAACCTAACTGCTGTACCGTATCATGTAGTAGGGGACTAGAAGAGATACGGTCTCCATTACATGCCTACCTGAATGTCCAGTAGTTTTTCCCACGTTGGAGTGATGAAATACAAGACGCCCGTCAGCGAACCCTCTTGTAACAGTCCTGTAACCAATAGGATGAACAGGATGGCGTATGGGAAAGTCGCCGCGAAGTATACCACCTTGAAGAAGAGAACACATAAACTAACAGCACTGAGAGAAAATTAAATATTATAATTTACTTGGAATGCCTATGGAGTAATCGTACATGTGAACAAAACATCGGCGATACGTGGTAGTGCAGTGTGTTCTTAGTGGCTTACGGATCGGGAAGGTATTGTTTGCATAGCATACATGGTATCTCTCTTCATTAGGAGAGTGGTACATTAAGGACATGGGCACACCAAGGAATCTGACAACCACAATTTTCAAATTTCCGAGAATTGTTATCAGCCTGAGTTCAATACCTGTTACTGCAGTGAGCAGCGCAAACTGAAGAGACTGCATTGCCGTTTCCTCAATTTGCTCTGCTTCATTCAGGAACATGTGTTCAACTTAAGCTGATAATAATTTTCGGAAATTTCGGTTGCGTTGCGGTTGCCAGTTTCCTTGGTGTGCCCTCGCCCTAAGACACAGTGGAAACTGCAGAATAGTTCAAGCATTATGAACTGCGGTTTCACTCCTCCTGTTACTTTCCTCTCCTCAGACATCCAGAATGGTGTATAGGGACAAAGATGACTAAGCATGTACAACGTCGGACTGAAGAGAGAATAATGTTACAACAATGTGACCTATTTACCTTCCCTGACGTCTTTATGCCCTTGACAAGGCACAACACGACGACGACCCACGAGAACAGCAAGCAGAGGGCCAGGTCCCATTTGATAGGGCCCACATCCTCAATCCCGTTGGACAGATGTAGAACGTACTTCCTGTAATGTGACATCACATTTCGTTAAGTGTACCACAACTGAAAGAAAACAATAAGAAGTTCTGCGAAGAATTAATCGCCTGCCTTCCTTTAATACAAGGACCGTATAGAAAACGATGCGTCCAAATATTCTTCTATTGTTGCATGTGTATTCGTTACAGCGGTAAATTTTCTATTGAGCCGTTGCCTAGCAACGATAGGGAGATACACGTACTGATGGGAGGGATTTATGAAGTACGCCGCTGGGATGGGCTCAGGGGCCATGATATATGTACCAAGTTTCATAAATACTGGTTCCGGCATTCAAGAGTTGATACGGGGATACACAAACACACAGAGAGACAGACATCATGTGACATATAAGATTACTTTAATTTTTTTTGAAAATAAGGAAAGTAGGTTAAAATGAGAGGGGGATGAAAGGAAGAAATAAAGAAGGTAAGAAATGAAAGGAGATAAAAGGAGAGGAAAACGGAAAGAGACATTCTTTCCAAGGAGTAAAGCTGACTGAGCGTGAATCTGAAAACTTACTACAAATTCCACTCCATAAAATAGGTGGAGTATTAACCCAACGCCTACTGTACCTGTTTATGACAAGGTACTTCAGTAAGAGCGAAAATTATTTCTCACACTTACTCCGCGTATGATTTCTAAGGGTTCTTAGATGTGATTTATCTGAACGCTGGAAGGAAAGAGCTCACGGCTGAACCCTCAGCTTTGGGGTTGGGGGGTTGTGCCTGTAAAGGCGCGTCCGTCCACATTACTCGTGCTCGTGCTCGTGCTCGCCAGGCTTGTGCTCGTCTGGCTTTTACTTGTGACCGTAAATCTTCGTCCACACTACTTCAGTTGCTCGCCAGGCTTCGGCGCGTGAGGATCCGTATATTTACTCGTAGTGTGTATAGGCTGTAGTCGTATTTTAATTTACTGGCTATAGTTTTTAAATTAAAAATTTGCTTGTCTCGTGACTTGTCATATCGTCCGCATTACTTGCGAGCATAGCGAGTCACACGAGCACGAGCACGAGTAATGTGGACGCGCCTTGAGGGTGAGGACGAGTGACGATAATAAAAAAGCTGTTGGTGAGATTCAAACCCATGACCCCGTCGTATGCTCGACCTAATTCCGAGGGGACTGCAAACAATGCATGTTCATCATTTCTGTTGTTCGAAGTCTGACAGAAATATGAAGACACCAGTTCTGTTTCCTGGTAACGCCACCGTATACATGTGGAATGCATTGCTGACGTTTCGGAGAGACAGCGATCTTAATCTTCAATGCAAGATAGCTATCTATTGCAAAGTTACTCATATGTCTAAGCTCAATGTCATGAAGGCGAAGAGGGGAGCGTGGAGGCAAAGTTCCACACATTTTAGAACATGGCAGTAGATGGAGATGAGTGACTAGCCTCGTGCTCCGATGACTTTACCCTATGGGATAAGCCTCCGCCTCCCACATACGCTGGGTAGGAGAAAGATGGACCTCACAGTCGGTCTGGGAGCGGTGGAAGAGATAAATTTCCCTTATTCTGCAGGGAATGGCATCTCAGGTGTCTGGACTGTAGGCTGCAAATTTACCGACTGAGCTATCAAACCACCAAAAGAAAGATTATACATACATAACATTAACAATAGTACAACAAGAGCAACGGTAACAATAGCAAACCTTGAAAACATTCCAAACGGTTGTAAACAACTATGTCTATTCTGAGATTAAATATAACACAAATGATTTTTCATATTTATGTATTTTAGTTTTAATTGATGAAGAGAGACAGTTTGAAAGTTCAACTATAAAGTAATAGAATGATCCTATTTTAGCTCATTTTTCTTCTTTTGAGAAAATAAAATGAGCCTTATGAGATCACCTGACCATCTGTGTGTCTGTGCGTCCATAATTTTTTTTCCTATGAGGTCCGTGTAGTATCGAAGGAAATTAGGCGATTAGTTCTTTCCAGACCTTCTTTTTATATATTGGCTGTATTATCAAACAGAATTTGTTCACAGCAGAAGTGGTAAATTGTTCATAACGACTAACATCGAAATCATTCAATGAGTTCTGCACAATGCAACCCAGTTCAAAGTCGGTTCGGCTAATCCGCTGCATAAGTTAATTTAAAAGTTTGTCTTCCCAGAAATGGACAGATTTTGTGGAAGATGAGACTTACTCCCAGTATTGCAAACTGGCCGTTTCGGGGTTAGTGCTGTTGTCCCCCAGGCTTCTGTTACCCCAGGACGAGTTCGCGTCTTGGCTCTGAGAACAAAGGAAACAATTTCACCTACTGGCACACTTTGACTGCTCAGAGATGTCTTGCAACGCTGATAGCACTGGACGCTGTGAAACGTAACCTAAAACAGGTTTCCTTTCACAACAAAAATAGTATTCTCGATATATCGAATGAAATGAGCATTAGGACTAAAATGTCTATGTATCCACAGTCCGTCAATAATGCAAGAATTGTATATTCACCATTTAACATTTAACACAACATATTTCGGCTATAGACGGCCATCTCCAGGTGTCTTAATATATCGAAACTGTTACGATGCTCTGTGCGCTAAAACCGCGCGCTGCAGTCCACTTAAAAATGGGGGGGGGGAAAAAAAATCCATTAAAATTTTCCATTAATTTTTCATTATTTTTGTAAACTCCTATTCCACTTCTTAAGGGGCGTTGTCCACTTGTTTAGAGCTCTGTGGTTATTCCAGAAGGTTCGTTTCAGCAGCTTTTTTTTCTGTTCTTTACCCCGTTGTTTTGCTACTTCTGCAATTTGTAATATGCCCCTTGCTTCTGAGTTGTTCCCTCTGGCAGCGCGTGGTGCTGTCTTCACTAGTGAATAAACAATTGTTGCATTATTGACGGACTGTGTATGCATAGACGTTTTAATTAAAGTTTTGCAACAGGATGCTGAAATAAAGAAGAGTATTAGGAGTTTATGTTCATTTCTCTGGATTGTTTACTTCCTTGATGATACAAAGGAGACACCTCACCAGTGGTTTAAGTGGTGCAATAAATGCCACATTTCAACTGTTACAGACAACGTTTAATGTTAGTTGACTACACGAGATTATGAAAATTCTTTGGTGATATAAAAACACTTGGTTGTGACTCACATCTTGCATGTGTTTAAAATCGACAGTAAGTTCAGCATGGGACGGAAGAGTAAAATACTCAAAAATGTTATTTGACGTACTGTTTAAAGCACTTGACTATTACCAGGTTAAGTCAAAACTGATTTGGAACTGCTCTCAATCATTCGCGGAACTCGCTGAATACAGCAGAATTCAACAGACATGGACACTGGATCACATAAATATCGAATGTAACTAAACAGTCGATCAGTTTACAGGATTAGGATCTGAATATCCTATCATAGGTTCTGAACCAGCATGCGTCATATCAGCAGCAATTGCCAAGACGGTTGTCAGGGACTGGACAAACAGAGGCCAAAAAAATCTGAGAGACCTTAACAGGACTCAGACATGCAAAGGGTTTCCTACAAAGACCCCCTGCCGTATGAACTAAGGAACTGTTTACAGTAAGCAGCAACCGGTTACGATGGATGATATGACCACTTACGGGACACTTTCACCTGAAAGGACACATCTTCAAAATGGGATTCGCGTATAGCCCCATTAGTGAAAGTGTCCAGAAAAAGACGAATCAGCCACATACAACCTATGTGAATGTAGCTTACTTAGGATTTCGTCACCTGATGGAGCAAGGTGATTATAAAGTTGCCCAGAAAAAGATGAATCGACCACACGTATCATATGTGACTCTAGCTTACTTAGAATTTCGTCACCTGATGGAGCCAGGTGATTATAAAGTTGCCACATTCATACTATGGGATTGTCAGGCTATAGCTTACTTAGAATTGCGTCACCTGATGGAGCCTGGTGATTATAAAGTTGCCACATTCATACTATGGGATTGTCAGGCTATAGCTTACTTAGAATTGCGTCACCTGATGGAGCCTGGTGATTATAAAGTTGCCACATTCATACTATGGGATTGTGAGGCTATAGCTTACTTAGGACTGCGTCACCTGATGGAGCCAAGTGATTATAAAGTTACCACATTCATACTATGGGATTGTGAGGCTATATCTTACTTAGGATTGCGTCACCTGATGGAGCCAAGTGATTATAAAGTTGCCACATTCATACTATGGGATTGTGAGGCTATATCTTACTTAGGATTGCGTCACCTTATGGAGCTAAGTGATTATAAAGTTGCCACATTCATACTATGGATTGTGAGGCTATATCTTACTTAGGATTGCGTCACCTGATGGAGCCAGGTGATTATAAAGTTGCCACATTCATACTATGGGATTGTGAGGCTATATCTTACTTAGGATTGCGTCACCCGGGCCATTACTTTGTGGAGCCAGGCGAGTACCAAGACGTCCCGGTAAGTAAGATACTGCGTTTCATTCGTTGTGTAGGATTGTTGAGGGGTTGAAATAGAGGTGCATGCAGAAGGAGTCAATGAGGGTCGCGATACAAGAGCCAGTTTAGGCCTACTTCTTATGCATTCATCAATCCATTCAAACGTATTGTTTGCATGAATATTTAATTTGGTCTGCCACGCTGAAGGAACACGACAAATTGAGGATGCCTGAGAACAATGTACTGAGGAGAACACGTGGACGAGAGAGAGAGAGAATAAAGAGAGCGGAATAAAACTGCATAAGGAAGAGTCGCATCTTTTTCTGCTCACACGGTATCTGCAGTGCAACTACGTGCAAATCAATCATATGGACGGACATGTAGCACGGTTTGGAGAATCGTTAAATGTGTATGACGAGAAGAGGAAAGCATAAAGGATATGGATGGGAAAGCCGGGTAGAAAGAGACCACTGGGAAGAACAAGGCGCAGGTGGGCAGACAATATTAAAATGGATCTTAGAGAGATAGGATGGAGTAGTATGGATTGGATTGATCTGGTTCAGGGTAGGGACCAGTTGAGGGCTCTTGTGAACACGGTAATGAACCTTCGGGTTCCATAAAATATTGGGAAGTTCTTGAGTAGCTGCGCAACTGGCGGCTTCTCAAGAAGGGCTTAGCTCCATGAGTGAGTGAGTGAATGCTGCTAAAGGAACTGTAAGGCTGGACCACTTGCAAGGCTTAGGCCTAGACGGGATAATATTAACACGAATCTAAAAGAACTGCGATATTATGATTTGGGCTAGATGTCTCTGCAGCTACATTCCCCGCCCATCGTGACGTATATAAATATCCGTGTAGGATTTCAGATTCTCAGAGCAGTGGGTTTGAAGCGTTATACCTTCTGACATCTAACCTCGTATGGTCCGTTTAATTCCAACGGACTACACGGCGTTTTATTCTGGAAGATAAAACATTTTATACAAGCAGCTCTCTGCTGTCTACCTAAAACATATCTGAATGAAATAAACTGCTTATAACGTATTTTAATCCATAAGTAACACAGTTTTACTAATAAAAGTCTCGTGAATATAGCGTGAATTTCCTCATATAAGCATACATTAATCAAACAAATGGTCGCAGAAGTCATCCTTGAGATCACTAAGGGTGTTTTTTTTTCCAAACATATTAGCTTTCTGAATTATGGTTCAACTTCCATGACCTTGACCTCACTGGCGATACCACATGCCCCTGCCTTCACAGCTGTTGCAGGCTCCTGACTACGTGTAATTTAAGCGTCCCTAGAGGCCAAGTTATGGCCCGACAGATCGTGTCCTAATGACACTGGACGCGCACATTGAATTCTGAAGACGGCGGGGAGACAGGTGATGTTACAGCCCATATAACAGATGTTATGGGCAAGTTATTGCCCACGACGATGTTCGAGTATCATTGATAGTACAGACTCCCATCTATTTATTTATTTAACTGGGCTGTTAGCAGCTTACACTGCAGGTTATACTTCCTAATGGTACGATGGTGGTGGGCACTGTACTGGAAAGGACGTAGGAGGAAAGGCAGAGGCTTAATTTAAGTCATTATTCCAAAATTCGGAAGGTGGTTAAAGTATAGGTAAAATTGTCCCTCTGCTTAACTAATTAAGCATCATACCATGAAGGCGTATGGAGGAGTGGGTGTATATATCCACATTTTCTTGACCTCGGCACTGTTGGAGGTGAGTGGTTAGCTTCACGCTCCGGCCGCCTTACCCCCGGGAAACAGATCCACGATACCAATTGGATAGAAGGCTGGGTAGACCCCAGAGCCAGTCTGGACGACGTGGAAAAGAGAAAATTCTTGACCTTACCAGGATTCGAACTCCGACCTCTTGGTCGTCCAGCCCGTAGCTAGTCGCTATACCGACTGCGCTATCCCTGCCGATGCAAGGAGGGGCAGAGGACAGCCAGATGGGCAGGAGTACCAATCATTCGACGAGGCGATCGGCGACCGTCATCCGTTGTGGTACTGAATGAAGGATATAGGCCTTTTATCATGTCGAAACAAACCGAGGTTCTGACCGAAATATAATACTTGGGGCGCCTACAGTATAAGCATTTTCTATTTAAGTAAACAATATGTATGTATATATATGTCTGAGAAATTCAAGCAAGTGGGACCCATTTCAAATTCGGTTTAGTGTCCTTCAGTCAGGGTTTAGGACACAATTTCCGGTTCAATTATGAATAAAATTACATACTTCGGTACGACTCTTAAGCAAGTTCATTTAGTGTGAATAACGCAGTAGTCCAGTTGGTTGTGGTACCATGCTACAAGTCAGAAGGTCGCGGATTCGAGTCCCGATGAGGTGGATTTTTTCAATTTACCTAATCCTTTTAGCCGCACTATGACCTTGGGTTCGACTTTGCATCTAACAGAAATGAGCACCAGGAATCTTCCTGGGGGGGGGGGCGGTAAAATTTGGCAGGTGCGTAAGGCTGACAACCTTACCGCCATCTGTGAGCCGAGAGAGGTTGAGGCTCCCATATCTTCTAGACACTAGAAGATATGAGAGCCTCAACCTCTCACAACGCTATAGGCCTTCACGTCCTGTTACAGGGATAGCTTTATCTGATAACCGATCATTACTAGAACATAGCCTTTCTTTTCCGAGGCTCTCCGGCCCGCAGCGAATTTCGAAAAGCCCCGATGCGTCCCAACAGTAAAAATAAATTACCTTTCGCTCTACATAATTTGCCGAATTTTCTCAGAGATTTAAGTAAAATAGAAATAAATTAACAAAGGTTTTAAAATAGGCCACGGTGTCATTTCTGAAGGATAAAAATGTAGCACATTCACTGTTTTAACTGAGAAATGAAGGAATCTTCGTGTATATGTAGCAAACCTTGCAGATATGCTCAAGCTCATAGCGTGTACGTTGGGCGACAGTGAGTCTAGTGTCCCTCAAGTGCCATGACGTATAACAGTGGATCACAGAGAAGTCATTACAGAGCGACGATGCGCGTTGCTGATATCAGCAATTTCCTGTTGAAATTTCAAAGGGCATTTAGATGGTTTGAAACATCACAAAGCGAGGAGGTTAGCTTAGCGGCAATTAATCTGACCTCTCAGTTGTACCAGCGCCTACACTGACACGCTTTTCGTGTTGTACCCAGGCTAGGGTTCAGTTGCAAATTCCTGAACACGTTGATGTATCTTCGATCTCCACAGAATCAGACAGTTCCCTGAGCAGCTGCATAGCAACGTATACACTTCTTTTTAATCCATCTCCTCACCAGACGGGACATATACACATAAATGGAGGGGGCCGTAAAATAGAAATCAAAATAAAAATATATATATATTCTCATTCACGCTTCGTGACTAAACAGTTATTTTAGTTTTGTACGAGACAAATTTACAATGTGTATTAATTGAAAACAAAAAGGTATATAAATTGTACTCAGTACATCTCAGGCATTCTCTTGGAAATTACAGGGCAGTGTAGGCTGTTTTAACGGAACATATTTCAATTTTACCTTTTCTTAAGTTTCCCCCCACTACGAAGAGAATTTTCGTAAGCGAGAACATAGTGTTAAGAATGTATCACCGAAATGCCCTTGGCCCTCTAATACTCGATATTATTATTATTATTATTATTATTATTATTATTATTATTATTTAATTTTAACTGCAAATGGGTTTTAACCGGTGGCAGTGATACTATAATAAGACAGAACACACAAATAACGCAAATAACACACATCTCAAAAAATAACAGACCACACTCAAAACACAGCACACAAAACTACACAAGCAATAAAGGAAACACTACACAAAATGAACACAGGGCATATATGATTTACAACTACAACAAAAACAATTACAACTGCAATTAAATAAATTCACCTTAACAAAAAAAAAGTATGCTATGCACTAAACAAGTGTTTAACATTCATAATACTGGATTCTCGTTTAAGAAATCATCCTGTATAATTCTGTTAATACGATGAAGGAGAAAAATGATAGAATGTTAGATACGTTGTCAGGTTGTGGCGTTGATACAACTAGATTGGCATCAACAATATGAATCTTCTGGCTGTCTTACCAGCGAATTTATTAATTAGATATACACCCCTATAGGTAATTATCCTGCTTTGATATTGAAACAACACATAAATAGGTATTAAACATAAATGTTTACAGAGATACACAGACAACTTAACAGTAGTGCATAAGATTTAAATTGGTGTCACTTAGGGGACAACTCTCTATTTAGATCCATTATCAATTTGTTAGACTTACCGCACGTGACCCCCTGACATAGCAGGTGCTCATGTCAGCCCAGCTGGGGTCGCACTTGCTCCACGGGACCTCGGAAGCGAAGGACGATACCATGTAGTACACCGTGTAGGACATGATGACGTTATAATAGATACAGACGATTAGGGATACAGTCACCATGGCGCAGCCCACACCTACAACATATATCAATTGCGTCAATCTGGAGATTAGCACCGTCCCGCAACACGTTAAAAGCCCAACGCTTTAAAAGCCTTAATTCTATACATAAATTACCATGACGACAGAAATCAGTTTAAGTCATATTAATTTTCTATACGGCATGCACGAAGAGGAATATAGTGCTTACGTCAGTTTATAAGTTTATAGACCCCCAATTTTATTTCTATAAAAATGTTGCCATGATCTGATTGCGCAGGAAAATTGGTTGAGTCCACGGTCAGAAAGTAATGTCTTAGGAAGTATTTTTCTTTAAATTCGCTTAGTGGGTGCTGGAGCCCAACTGGGTCCACTCGGCACGGCGGCCACTGATTGGCCTATTGTAGCCTGCCCCGGGTGATTATGATGGAGAATTTGGTGGAATGAAGATTGGCAAGGGAAACCGAAGTACTCGGAGAAAACCCGCCCCAGCGCCACTTTGTCCACCACAAATCCCACATGACCAGACCCGGGATCGAACCCGGGCCGCCGCGGTGGGAATCCAGGGACTAGCCGCTTGAGCTACGGCGCGGCCCCTCTTAGGAGGTAAGTCAGACTTCTAACACGTTCTTACACTCGAGATCGAGTGTGGAGTGTTTAACGTGGTAATGAGAGCGAGCACGGTAAAACTGCGCACAATGAAACAAAAGCGATGGTGGTCACTTATGAGTTCAGTGGTGGAACTGTAAAAATTCTTGCAAGACACTACATCATTAAATCTCATGGCTAATACTTCCCGACAGAACTGTAACCAACATGTTACCTACAAACATCAGGGCGACTGTCTTGTTTCGTATCACAATTCTTAACTTCCCTCCCTCTCGCGCAGCCCAGAGGCCACGATAAAATAACGGGAATGTATAATCTTACATACTAGTTTTGCGAGTCAAGTTTCCTCTCAGAATGTGGTCTTATTTGAGTACTGTTCTGTATGCTCTCCACTGCATCGGCCTACCATTCCCATGGTATCCAGCAAACCATTTCCAACATTAAAAACATCTGCGAAGGCTTCTTATCTGTACTCGCTATATTTATATTTATTACTGTTCAAAGACAAGCCAAGACTTCCAAATAAGCAGTTATCCAAGCCATTAAAACTTCAGAACTAAATCTTTGATTTATCACCAATAAATATTCTATATTTGGCATAAAATTATCCGCAGTAGTGCACAAGAAAGCAGGGAACACACAACAACACTCTAAGCTTACGCAAATGTTCAACACATTTGAGTTTATAAAGCATATTTTAAAAGTTCTTCCTAATAGACACAATGATCATAAGAAAATTTTCATAATATGATCGGGAACACGACAACCCACTTATTCGTCCCCTGTTACTGCCACCGATTAACAGACGTCTGAAACGCAAATCACCGCAAGACTTATGGCTATGAGGTGAACATCGATGGATGTCGCCCACTCACGTCATGTAAGGTGTGTATTAATAAAGCTGAAAATCTGCACACTAGTCAGCACATTGGCTTAAAGAAATGTATATTTCACATTGTCAATAACTATAAATAAAAAAAGAAAATAATATGATCGAAAATTGAAAGTGATTTCTTTTTATTAGAATTGCGTAGTTCTTTATTATTAAACTTATCAGTAAGAAATGGTTACATCACCATTACATTTCTTTAAACTTTGTTCTAAAAGGAAACAGAATAAAATTAAAAGACAGGGAAACAATAATCATCACACATAAAAAAACACAGACTCTATTAGTTAGTTGTAAGAGATGAGGTCGGTCCGAAAATAGACGCAGAGAATATTAAGTATATGTTCGTGGGCTCATCAGCATAATGTTAAATAATAATATAGAGAGAAACAATAAATCCCTCCAGAATATGGCAGAGTTCAAATATCTGAAAATGACATATCTCAACAGGAACAAAATATATTCGTTATGAGGCCTCCCTAAGATTAATTTCAGGTAGTTTTCTAGCACTATCCGGGAACTCGTGTCTTCTCGAACTAAATTTAAAAACATAGAGATTAAAATATACACAACTCTAAGTAAACGTTTTGTTTCATATAGGTGAGAAACAGATTGAGGGTGTTTGAGAACTATCTGGATGTAAAGGGGAGGGAGTGCCTGGAGAACTGAGGAAAACAAAGTATGACGAACTGCATAATTTGTATTCTTCTTTAGGGAGGTCAAATCAAGGGAGTTCGGAGCAGAATGCAGTATGCATGTAGGTAAAAGTGCACACACATTAAACAAGAGAGCTTGAGGAAGTGAAGACTTAATCCGGATATCAGGATAATGACAAGAGGTGGCGCAGGAAACTGTGTCTGGGGTGGAATGTCTGTGCAGGGCTGCTGAGAATCAGAAGGCTCTGCACACTCTCACCTTTCGCGATGGGACAGCAGTTCCACAGGGCCAATGGACCGACGCCACCGAACTGTCCCACTGCTAATTCCAGGAAGTACATGGGCTTCCCAGCCAGAGCCAGCATAATGAGGTAAGGGATCAAGAAGGCGCCTGTGGACACAACATATATTTCAGGCAAAACAATTTAAATATCTGATTATTTGCAGCATATGTGTTTGTCTCTACGTAACAACTCACCCGGAAAGGACAGGGAATGAAAGGGTCGTGGCCAATTTTAAGATAGTGTCCTACCAGTCACCTGGAAGATCTAACGAAAACCACGAAAACCACGAAAACNAAGATGGAGGCGCTACGTTCCTCCGAAACGTCGGCCAAAACGAAGAATACACGGTGCCTAAACCCAGAAGACAACTTTCTTCATTGTCATCGCCGTGAAAACCTCAAAACTTACATTATATTAGTGTGTTTCTATAGCAACGCGTAGTTTCCACAAACAACTAATTCCATGAAGCAGGTTCCATCTTGAGAAGCTAATACTCGATTACCCGAACATGAAATTGCCTGCTTTATTTAAACTCGAATTCTCACTACCACGTCCACAAGAACCAACCACTGACCCTATCCCGAAACATATGAACTCAGTTCACTTTCACACACTCAGACTCCTTTAAGAACTATTTTAATAATATCTTGCCACCTAGGCCTACGAGTAGATCTCAGAAGTTGTCTTCTTCCTTCAGATTTTCCGACTGGAATGTAGCTTTCCTGGTCCTATAGTCCATAGCAGAGAGGAGCAGTACTTAAATCCCATCCAGCCCAGAGGAGTAACATGTACTGAACATTTAGATACCATTGGTACTACGAGGTCCACCATCATTACCTTTAATTAACGAAGAGGTTTCTTGATTTCAAGCGTAAACATTTAATTATTACAGAGATCCAGTGTTTTTAAGAGTGCGGAGAATGTAACAGGGAAAGGTTAAACACTACACCACGAGAAGTTCTGTATATATCCGTGGCGCGCTGTGCAGTATTGCAACTTACTGTTAGGAGAAGAAGGCGCTGGCATGGCAGACTACATAAACAAAATGGCGTAGTCTGAGACCCTCATCGTTACATGGATCGACAGCGGGGTTGTTCTGCAGTACAGTGTTTTGTATGTCACAATATTATTGTGGTCCACAGCACATCTTTAAGTTTAGAACTGTGAGCAGAATATTATAAGTTAAAATATAAATAATGTTAAAACAAGTTGTGATGAAACATGGTCTATGACTGAAAAGGATAACGTTGTGTTAAATATGAGGGGGAGGAAGGTTCTGAGGAAGGTGTATGGGTATGCAACTGGGCAAGGAGTTGGGAGAATCAGAAGTAACCAAGAAATAAGGAACTCCTCTGATGAAGCAGAATATATTAAAGGAAGACTGGTGCAACTGGGGCATGGACGAGTAATCAAAATGGTTCAAACAAGGGTGGACGAGAAACTGTTTGAAAGTGAGCCAGGCTCTAGAAGGAAAGGCTGAGAACCAGAGAATAATTTGAGTGAGATGGTAATGAAGGGATGAAGACAAAAGGCAGGAGAATGGGCATCTGTCACAAAAGAGAATAGAGTTCTTAGTGCATGACAGAGCCAAGGAGTAAATATTTTATCTCAAGGGAAAAGACACAAGGGAAGATACACGTACATAAGAAGGTACTGTATTAAGAAATATTAGGGTGTTAGGGTGTGGACTGGATTCATCTGGCTTAGGATAGTGTGAAATGGAAACAAGCTTCAATATGGTGACGAGCAACATTTTTCGGATATCTTAAAAAGAAGAATTTACTTGACTATCAACATGTTCACGATGAAATTAGTTACACCATGTGATATATCCACTTCCGATTTATATCTGTAATGAATGACTTCATGACGAATGGGGACCTCAAACAGTACTACATATGTATTTATTTTATTCATTTATTGTTTATTTAACGATGCTGTCAGGATCTGAGGCGAGCCCAGGTGGCGCAGTCGGTATATACGACTGCCTACGGACTGGAAGACCGAAGCCCGGTGTTCGAGTCCGGGTAGGGTTAGAATTTTCTCTTCTGCACATTGTTCAGACCGGCTCTGAGGCCCCCCCAGCCTCCTATCCAATTTGTACTGAGGGCGCTTTATCCGGGGGTAGAGCGGCAGGGGCGTGAAGCTGACCATTCACCTCCACATAGTGCCGAGGTCAAGAAGATGTGGAACTATACATTCACTCCTCCATACGCCTTAATGTCGTAGTGCTTAATTAGACAAGTACAGGGACAATTCTACCGTCAGGATCTGAGGCTGTACAAGTATATTGAATGTATAGACGACTAACGAATATGAATTTGAGAGGATTTGGAAGGAAGCGACCGTACCCTATTTTAAGGTGCTTCTGTAGCAGTTGCCTACTGCACTCTTCAGTGCGTAGCCGCAGGAGCCGGTGCTAAGATCTGCTGTCCAACATGGAGTAGCATTCGAGCTTGAGGGTCTCAGCAGGGCGTGGGACAGAGAATGATAACCGCTTTGCTTCTTGACGATAAGACGCAACAACTGCACTCCATGTTTGGGCAAGCACCGGGCAGACTGCTGTGCATTTTGTACTTTATTTGAAACATTGATCGATTGTGCTTATTTTCCAAAATAGAAAGAAAATTGTTTCTGACTGTAAGGAATATTAAAATGTACTGAACATAACAGAAATATATATATATATATATATTACAGACGTATTTACTCCATATACTATGGCATTATGTTGTCATAAATAATTTTTATTGTGTTCCTCTGGTAATATTCACCATTAAGAAAATGTTTTCAAATAAACTTTATATACCTTGAGCAAGGGCCATGTGTTATTTCACATAAATTTCCTTTACGATGATAAAACTCATAAAGGTGGATCCGACCTTCATGAAAACCATGAATTAAATGGTACTGTATATAATCGGCCCATGAATTTATCGGCAATTCTCAGAATTGTAGCTGGAAGCTTATTGGTTCAAATATCAGCCGGACACCGACTGTACAGACTCAAGTTCTTTGTGGTTTTCCTATATTTTTCTTCTTCCTCTTCTCCCAACTTCGGAGCAGAGCGCTGATTTCTCAGTTTCATGATCATTTCACAGTCGGTAGGACTCCTTGGACGGGTGATCAGCCCGTAGCTAGGCCTCTGCCTAAACACAGGACAACACAAACACAGAATAAACGCATGCATACACCAAACATCCATGCCTTGTATGGCATTCGAACCCACGATCCCGGTTTCCGAGCGAGTGAAGTCAGTGCATGCCTTAGATTGCTCGGCTACCCTTACCTGCTTTTCCAATATCCTTTCGCCTAAATTAAGCCACTTCCGTATCCCTTCTGACTCAATATTCACTAACATCCACCTATGCGGCACTATGTGCCCTGAGTGTAACAACATTCAAGCAAGAAGATAGGGAACATAATTAAACATATGTGACAAATTTGAGCGTTGACCTGTATCACCAAGTTTCATCGGAATCTGATTATTAGTTTTGGAAGTGAACCCGCAGAGAATCAGGGCACACATATTTTTCGTTCATCTCATGCAGTTCGTGTAAAGAACACACAGAGTCGAGAGGAGAGGCAAGGGTAGCAGAATTATGAAGGGGTTTCTTCCTTTTCTTTACATTTTTTGACAGATAAGATTTCTAATGATTTATCAGCGTTACTGTCGGCTAAATGGAATGTGTTAGAGAGGACATGGACTTAAACCCATATCGGAAATGTTATTGCTTTGCTTGGAGTGTGAAGGGAAGTGGAGGCATTTAGAGTACATAAAGGCTCTATTTACCTTCAAACAACTTCTTATTCCATACATTTCAGTGTCATAAATTTTACGGACAGTAATTAGACGGGGTTTAGCTAAATAACAACACGACCAGATAGACAGACAGGCACACTACTCTGCTAAAATGAACATTATAGCAAGAATACGAGTACACAGTTCCTATGGAACTACTTTAGCTGATTTTGATGCTAAGCGAGGAAAACAGAACTCCTCATATGAATATAATCGCTATGAGTTTCATCTAATATCAACAGCGGAGTTTGTGAGCCTGTTTTGAATTGATAAAATTATACACAGTTGAATGCTAAGATAAAGAACCTTCATCAGCATATCACCATTATCATTAAAATCGGTAGCCTTAGAACGGCTGGGTCCTAGAGCTGACCACTAAGGTTAAATATGCGTGGAGCTTCACCTCCATTTCCAATAAGGCTTCATGGTATGATGCTTGTTAAGAGCAAGAACACCTTTGTTTTGGAATTGGTTATTTCAGTGTTTCTTGGGGAGTCGGGACTTTCATATTCCTGTAGGTTTACATAATTGTGCTTTAGAAGTAGAGGACTGACGTGAGTCCATTAAAAAAAAAAGCTGTCGATCACAATGATTTATTATATCTATGATTATATAACATTTTAGTGTTCAGTACCGCTATAATAAAAGTTCGCCACTACACACGATGCATCTCCCTTCATCTTCACAACTTATTGTCCCGAGACTCGTCTTCATGTTAAGCTACCATTTCCTTCTAGGTCTTCCGAGTTGTCACTTCCTAAGAGATATTTCCTTCGAAATCTTTATGTGGTTGTATCCACCATTCATTCTACGTGTCTAATCCGTCGTATCTTACTTGATTTCACTGTCCTGACAACGTTAGGTGAGCTTCACGAAATTCCTCGGTATATAAATCTTAAAAACCTGCAATTTTGTCCCTTACAGGTAATATACACATACTTTCCTGAGCTGTTTATTTTTAAACACTTGAAGGAAAAATGACCTTGACATAGGTATAAAATTTTATAAATTGGTCTTGAACAAATAGGTTGTGGGTGCTGGCCGAATTAAGTGCCCCTGTATAGTGATCAGCTGAATTGAATTGAATTGAATTTATTTACATTCTATAAATCCTAAGTAGCTTAGTACCTTTGGATACAGAACAAGTCAAAAGGTTACATACATAAGTACAGGCAATTTTAGCTTAAAAATTAATATAACTTAATTTTACATCATTCTCTATTTACATTGAAGTATTCATCTAAAGAGTAGAAGGAATGAGCATGTAGATAATTCTTTAACTCTGATTTAAACTTTTTAGTATCA